CTCACTTAGGCTTTTTATAAACCCATGATTGTAAACTAATTATATATGATTATCCATCTAACGTGTTTTTTAAGTTGTGCATAGAAAGAACAAGTTATGCTTGGAACAAGATACAAGAAACCTGAGCAATGTCAAGTATATATATAAGGAACCTGAGCAATATATGATAAGCAATAGATCGAAATGAGTGTCATGGTTGATAAGAATGATGATGAATAAGGAATCATGAAGGTAACTATGTAAATAGTTGTTTGCATATGTTAGCTTCATGAGGTAAGTACACTATGCATACATGAGTTGTATATGTGTAGGAGTATTTACATAAGCTTTAAGTTTAATTAGTTCTCTCACTTGAAGTTTGTTTATGACAAACAAACTTCAATCTAATGTTCTTTTAAGTGTTTATGTGAAGACAGGAACTAACTTAGGAGAAGTCATCAATGGGTTGGAACATAGAAGACTTCAAGAGGAATATGAGATAATGAAACTAAAGCAGGTTCTCCTACGAGAACCAAACCACGAAGGAACCTGAAGGTATTCTCTAACAAGATCCAAAAGGAACTTTCGACAAGCTTTCCCACGAGAGCCGGAGCATGTTCCCTAATAGGTACATGAAATGTTCCCTAACGGGTACACACAAGGAGCTTCCTAACATAAGCATGACAGCAGGCTAAAGAGTGAAGCTTGGATTGCGAAGATGACAGCAAGTTCCAGAAAGGAACCTGGTCTACGAGTTCCAATAAGGAATGAAAAGAGTGACAACAAGTTCCAGTTAGGAACTTGGCCTGCTATTCCAGAAGTGGAACATTGCCCCGAGATCTAGAATACATCAATACTACAAGATTCCAGAACAAGAGTTTCAAAGAGACAACATGAAGACAGAGAAATCGAAGTATATCGCTCTAAGATTCATGTAAATATGTTAGACATAAAAGTCAGTCTGGAACAATACCTAAGAACCAAGGTGAACTCATGATATTAGTCAATGAAATTAGAGTTACTGACTTGTCAGGAACTTAAAGACTCTCTGAGTTCCAGAACCTAATCGGAATTTAAGTCTGCACGTCGTTAAAGGTCGGTTTTAATGATATATATATTTACCTAATACGTGCATATCTTTTAGGGATTTGGTTTTACTGAATAAAATATTTATTTTCTAATAAATACCTTTTGGAAAAAGATAAGTTTTTTTTTGGAAATTAAGTATTTTAAGCAAAATAAGTTTGGAATAAAATCTCAACTTTTGAAAAAGATATGCTAGTATATTTGGAAAGTATAAGTTTTAAATAAAATCTGATTTTATAGAAAATATATCTTATTATTATTGACATAATATATTCTTAACAAAAAGATATATTTTTGGAAAACTTATTTTTGGTAAATATCTTTTAAACATATATTTTGAGAAAACTTATCTTTTACGAAAAGAATAATTTGGGTGTACTATAAATATGCTCATACGTATTCATTCAAAGTTGAGGCTGACGAAGCTTAGTGGTCGTGCTTAATGGTTTCATCCTTCACCACGAAGCTAAGTCAAACCTCAAGGTCAAAGTTCCAGTTAGGTTTGGTTTCAGTTCGTCCAGTAAGTTCCAGACAGATCTTGAGTGTCCAGCATATTTGTTTTATCACTTAATTCATTAATATGTATTTAGAGTTATTCTTTGAGATCTTGTGATTGGAAAAAGGGTTTTGGGTGTTTTATGTATTGGGGTGTGAGAGTTCGTGAGAAGTCTCGTTATCATAATTGTATGAGTGCAAAGTGTGAGCTTCTAGGGTGAAGCCGAGTGAGCTTCTAGTGAGAGACCGAGTGATTAATACTCAGTGAGTACGAGTGAATCTAAGTGAGGGGCTTAGGTTGGGTAGGATAGGGTCCTATCGAGTAGCAAGTTTCCGGGTAGGAACTTGTGAAAAAGGTCAGTAATAGGTTGTAATTAACTAGGATTGTTTGTTCTATTATAGTGGATTGGTTTGGCTTAAAATCCCTTGTAGGGTCGAGGTTTTACTTTCAGTTAGGCCCTTGATGGTTTCCTCATAAAATCTGCTTTGCATTGTCTAAGTTCCTAACAGTAATCAGTTTTATATTCCGTGAAAAGTAGGCACTAGGAACATACTGCAATTTACCCCCCCTCTTGTAGTATATCATCCGAAATAACAATGAAGTTGTTATTGACTTGAAAGAGAAGGCACTTGATATAGTAACAAAACTTGCTATAGTAACAAATTGCACTATTCTTGTTTATATAGGTTCTGTTTTTATGTTTACTTTTCTAGTTTTGGCATCTTATGTTTATGGCTTGGAATAAAATGCATGAGCAAATTATCACATACTTATGGTTTATTATTTTTGCAGATCCAAGCTGAAGCCATCGAATTAGACACTCTCCAAGATGTTATTAAGGGACTGTTCTCATACGTTTATTTTCATTTTAGTTCAGATGAGTTCAGTCTATGAGAACAGACCCTAAATGCGTCGCAACTTTTAACCTTGAGTTGAATTTCCCATCCGCTTTTCTTGTATCACGCGTTAAGATATTGGAGGAGAAGATCGAGAAAAATGAGGCATGCTGATGCTGCAGTAAATCCCAGGAAGAAGAGTAGTGCAAGCTCCTGCACATCCATAGAACAACAGCTACAAAAGCGGCCTCAAGTCTAGGATACTAAGTAGCTCCTATGGTTATGCCACATTCATTTGGACATGCATGTAACTCATGCTACGAGCCAACCAACTTATATCTACTAGAAAAATGTGTGTACCAAATACCAATGGCTTATTACCAATGGCCAGTTTAAATCGTCGGTATATTAAAAATTACCCATGGTTTGAACAGCCATCGATATTTGATGGCCTGAGTTGTAGTTGTACAAGCTAACATGAACAAAGGCAGATTAGATATACTACCTCCGTAAGTTATTATGTGCAACTTTGAGGTATTATTTGTGTGAAATTTTTTCTGTGAAGGCGGATGCACCCGGTTTTCTTTTTAAAAAAGGCGAATGAACATTTAGTTGTTTAGTAAAGAACATATAGTTGTTTTATAAAGAACATATAGCTATTTTATAAAGAACATCTAGTTTTATATGTTTTTTTTGTAAATCTAAAGAACATTTGTAATATTAGTAAAGAACATGATAATATTAAAGAACATTATTCATATAGTAAATATACATTTAGTATAAATGACCATGTATGCATATAAAAAAGTACATTTTATTGTATTATAATGTACATTGTATTATATTCTAATGAACATATATGTTATAATGTTGGTTACATGTTTAATGTACATTGTATTATTTGCATCATGTAAGTATATGAAAAAAGAACATTTTACAGTATTTTAATGTACATTGCATTATTTGAATCTACAACTTTTTTAAAAATTGTCTATTTGCTTGCTTTTTTCTTCAAAAATGGATTAATCGGAAGATCTTCTTCAAGAACTTCATTTTATTTCTCATTGTAACAACAAAATAACATCAAAATCGCAATTAATTCCCAATAAAATCAAATATTACAATTTTCAATCAAATTTATAAAAAAACAAACACTCAAACTCAAAATAAACAAGTATGAATGTCAAATAAACAAGTATGAATGTCAAACAAACAAGTATGAATGTTGAATTTGGTCTTACCTTTCGTTTTTATTTGTCATCTTAGCTTGAACAATTTCGGACTCAAAATTTCGAATTTCTTGAAATTTTCGAAATTTTGCTTGAGGTTTGAGGAATTTAAATGGGTTTGAAGTTTTGTTTGGAGAGAGAAAGTGAACTTTTGGTAAAAAAAATGAAATGATTTGTAATTAATGTATGGTAAAAAAAAATAATTATAGTACTATTTATCTATTTCATTATACAAAAAAAATAATTATATTATTATACAAAAATAATATACAAAATTGTTGCACAAAAATATGATGTACATTATAAATGAACACTATTTTCTTTTATATGCCCATGTACATTAGTATATACTTGCATGTTCATTATGCCTTTTTGTACTTTGGAGCGGATTTACCATGCGGATCGTGCATCCGCCTCCACGAACAAGCTTTATTATTTGTGAGATATAAAATATTCCAAAGTTACACACAATAACTAACGGAGGTAATACAAACTTTAGATGTATGATGTAATTTACTTTACGTACGTTTACTCTATATGTACTCCGATCCTTTTGTATTTTTAAGTGCAATAAGTTGATTTCATGAAATTTAGAAACTTGCAATAAATTGTTTGTTACTCCGTAAAATATAAACGGGATTACTTTTTTTTTTTAACTAAAATAATTTATACTAAATTGAAATTATTTTTACTAATTCTATATTATATTTATTTTTGTAAGTTATTTTTATTAAACTTAAATTATTTTTACCCAACTAAACTTATTTGTAATGAACTAAAATCATTTTAATTGAATGATTTTTTTTTTTTAAAGGTGAATTGAACATGGTCTAAAACATCAATAGCCATGTAATATCTCATTAAAGACAACATGAAAAAGGAGGATATTATTATTATTAAAATAACCTATAAAGTCAATTAATTTACAAGAAATTAGTGGGGTATTATTATTATTATTATTATTTGACATGGAGGATGTATTAGCTTCAATCAATACCAATCAAACAATCAGATATTTTAAATTTTATAGTAAGATTTCAACAGCTAGAGAAATTAAAAGAAATTTTAACATTACTTTAGGAAATTAATACATCCGTGCAGTGTATTGACACGGATATATTATAGGAGGTGATAATTAAAAGGGTAAACAATATTACTTTCTATAAAAAAGAGTAATCCTAATACATTATAATTCGCCCAATCACCGACCTCACCGTATTATATAATTATCTGGTCTTAGTTGTTTCCTTTTATTTTACCAAAATCAAATCCTGTTTATAGCTACGTACTACCTTTCTTCGTATTCCTTACAAAATTTTAGTATATTAATCATTGTTCTTCAATTTAAATTTTCTGTCCTAAATTTGATCAATCATGTCAATTTTTGATCAAACTTCAAAAGACCTTAAGTCTTCTAGACTAGTTATTCACAAACTCGGCGAAACTTTCACTGATTTTCAAACTCGCACCTATTCAGCTATTTCACTTTGTGAGCAATGGCGTACACTCCAGGGTTCTTTCGCTAAGATCCACAACTCGTTCGAGGAGCGAGTTAAGGAAGTCGAGGCGAAAGAGAGGGAAATTGATATGACTAGAAAAAAGTTATATAATTTAGGAAAGGAGGTTGAGTTATGGAAGAAGAAGTTGGATTCCGAAGAGAAGTCGTTGCGTGAGAGAATCGACGGTGTTGGGTTGAGAGAAAAGGAAGTGAGAGAGTTGCGCGAGTCTTTGGAGTTGGAGAAAAGATTACTTGGTGAACGGTGTAAGGAGGGTTTCGAGAGGGTTAAGGAGAAGATGAAGGCGGTGGAGGATCGTGTTGAGGAGATGGAGTTGAAGGCGAAGGTGATGAGTGAGCGAGGCGAAGCATTGGATGCTAAAGAGAAGGAGTTGAGTATGAAGGAGAGTGTGTTGGAACAAAAAAAGGTAAAGTTTGAGGAGGATATGAATGGTATGGATGAGTTGTACTTTGCGCTCGAGCGTAAGGAAAAGGAGAATGATGAGCAAAGTTCAATGTTAATGTCTAAAGAGAAGATGTTAGGGTTGAAAGAGAAGGAAATTGATGAGCGTGGTGAAATGTTAGAGGCGAAAGAGAAGTCAACGTTAGAGGATGCTAAAGCTATGGAGTTGGAACGAAAGCAATTGCAAGCTAAAGAGTTGGAGATCGAGTCGAAAGAGAACAAGCTCAATGATCAACTAAAATGTGATGGGCATCAAATACTTTCTAATTGTCAAGCACAAGAGTATGAAGAGAAGCGCATTGGTACAAAATTTTTTTCCTCATCATTAAGCATTGGTGGTGAACAAATACGTTCTTATTGCATTAAAATGGATGCATTGTTTTTGGGATTTTGTATAACGGACCAGGTGAAGGCGAAAACAATATTACCTAAAGAGATATTGGATGCTCTTAGATATGCTCCTGATCCAGGGAAACTTGTTATGAAAGTCACTCGAACATTCCACCAAAATTTCTCAGATAAGGATACTACCACAATTTATAAAGATAGTTGCATTTTGTTGTTGGAGCAGTTAATGAAACTATCACCTCCAATTATGGATAATGTCAAAGAGGAAGCGAGGGATTTAGCTTTTACTCTTAAGGCCGCCAAGAACATAACTCCAACAGATAATTTCGGGTTTTTGCAGTTTGTAGCTGCGTTCAAGTTAGCTAATTGTTTTAATGCAGATGATCTTGTTACCTTTTTTGGCTCATTTTATCGTGGAGTTAAGATCTATCGGCTTGAGCAGCTAGCGAGTTTATGCAGTGCATTAGGACTTTCAGATAAGATTCCAGGTATGCATATATCTACATTATCCCCTAGGTATATCACATTTAATTAACGACTCTGACTAAGCTAATTTAGTTGATATCCACACTTTGTTCACAATTACGATTACTTAAGTAGTTAAACCACGTTTGTTCATCTATGTGCCCGTTTGTTGTTCTTTAGACTTATACTCGTACTAACCTTTTTTTTTTCATTGAACAGGACTTATCAAGTCTTGTATTCAAAAAAAGAAGTTGCTTACAGCAGTCAAGTGCATTTGTATTTTTAAGTTGGAAGATAAATTTCCACCCGAGCCTTTGCTGGAAAATTACTTGGACATGTCTAATAAAAAAGTGAATAAGAAACGGAAAGCTGGAACGTTTATTCCAAAGGTACTACCCATTAACAATGTAATCGATCATATATATTATTACTTTGTCTTAGGATGTCCCAGTTTCTCAAGGTGATAAACGAATTTGTTTCTCATGGGCATTTTTGTAAATAAATTAATACCTTTTTCAATTTTATTCAACTGTAGAGCCTGCAATATTGAAAAAGTTGTTGATTTAGTCACGAAAATGCCTCCATGAGAAACAAATTTCGTTTCTCACCACGAGAAACAGGGAATTTCCCCTTTTGGCTTTCATTTGCTTGAATAGCATGAGGCTAATTTTGGTCCTTTGTTTACAGATTGAAGCTATTGATAAGGAACTATCCATTCTTCGAGATGTTACTAGCTGCATTGCAACATTTAAGCTCGAGTCTAGATTCCCACCTGAACCCCTATTATCGCGCATTGAAGAATTGTTAAAGGCGAAAGAAGAAAGGAAGGCGGGTGCTCTAACACATTGGATTAATAATAAACGCAGTGCAAGCTCCTGTGATTCCATAGCAAGTCAAGAACAGCTACAAAAGCGTCCTAAAATAGAGAAGTAGGGAACGATCACCAAGTACAAGTAGCGCCTTAATCTGGTTCGAGTTTAGTTTAGGTGGATGCAAACTGATGAATTAAATGCTCTGACTTGTGTTTTTTTGTAACTCAAAAATATTTGATCCATGAATTTCTTCTTACGTCTATATATACTTCTTCACACGTTTGTAACACAAACAGTATGAATATAAATAATGTATCCAATATGATTTTGTTATTTTGTTATCATTTTAGTGCAATATTTATATGTAATTGCGACTACATAACAATTTTTAAAGTATTTTAAAAGCACTTGGTAGATAGAAATAGGAAGAGAGAAGTATGTAGTTGGACTTCACCTTTTTTTTTTTGGTCAGATTGTAATCTCATGGTAATGGAGACCGCATGCTAATTATTTCACTAAAATTTTATACTTGTATAATGTTTTTTTTTTAAATAAAAAAATATACTTGTATAATGTTTATGCATAAAGTTAGGGCATGTTCTCATTGAATAAACTCAGTTGAACTGAACTGAACCGAACTAAGCTGAACTGAACCGAACCGAATCGAACTAAGCTGAACTGAACCGAACCGAACTAAACTGAACTGAACTGAACTGAGCTGAATATTTTATAAGAGAAGGAAATTAGAAGCTGAACGGAACTGAAAATAAACATATGAGAACAAACCCTTAGTATTACTTAATGAAAAAAAGGGGTTACTTGTATATGTGTTAATCTTTAAAGAGAATTCTTTAGTTTATTGGGAAAATTCTATTGACAAAAATACCAATAAAAAATCTTTTTCAATTGTTTTTTTTTTTCCAATGAAGTTATCCTTCTTAATTACAAAATCTTCTAAAACTTTTGTTAAAAAAAAAAAAAAAAAAGCATTCACAGTTTTTTTTATTTTTTATTTTTATTATTATTTCCACATTCTATGCCTTCAACTGCCTTTAATCCCTTCCTTAAAATAAATTGCATCCAATCCCTAAAAAAATCAATGGTAATCTTATCTTGTCAATATTTATTTATCTTAGTTAAATAATAAGAATTATGAATTGAATATAACATGAGTTTTTTTTTTTTTTTTTTTTTTTTTTTTTTAATTTGTAGGCTAGCACTACTCCTTTTCATATTTCAAAGTACAAGATTATCAAGAAAGGCAATTGACACCGCTAATCATGGTGTTTCTTTGGTTAAAAATCTAGCTATATATCTGAGGTTGTCCTATTGGTTTTTCGAACCCTATTGATGTGTAATCGTTATGATGACAAATAGTAGCTAGTAACAGTTGATAAAGACTTAAAGTTACCTCAAAATTGTATTTTTTTTTTCTTTGTTTCTATAATATGTAATTTTCCTATTGTTTACTAAAGTAGAAAAAATTATTTTTGTTAAAAAAAAAATACTATTTAAAATATCTTACAACTTTGTCCATGCATTGCACTATTATCTCCAAGTATGTACAAAGTATATATGTAAACAATTTGTATGGTTAATGAAAGTATAATACACTTCTTATTATGCGCGTGCATATCTAAGATTGTAATAATACTAATGAAAATAATAAAACTAATTATTATAATAATAATAATTATAATAATAACAATATTAATACAAAAGGCAGTAAACATCATAATCTCGTTCAACAGAAAAAAGTAGTACATGATACATAAAACGATATTATTTAACGACATTCTACTCAACAACAGCCACTATTCAACCATTCATCAACCTCAATCCTAGTAGAAGAAATTAATTTAGATGATGATACATCTTTAGTTCTTCAATTCACTTGTTCCATGACTTAATCTTGATCTTTGAATTCGTTGCCGGTGGCCGAGTACCATAATCTTGTTCTTTATCTTGACGTACCGTAGTATCACTAGTACATTGTTTGTTCAACACCCAAGTATTTGACGAGCCATTATTATTCTTGACCTCTCTTAACTCTTTACGATTTCTTAAGCTCGTTTCTTTAAACTTGTTTTGCTTTCTTCGACTTGTAGTAGGTTGTGAAGGGAGATCACTCACACTAATCAAACATATCTTCTTTCTTCCATTTTCGAAGTCCTTGTTGTTGCAACTTACATTTTGTATTCTCCAACTTCTCGTAATATAACGAGTCTTTCAAGGAAGGTTTTTGTGGTGATGACAAAGGTTGTTTGAGATTTTGACGGAGAGATTTCGACTCTTTGCCTTTCACTTGGGTTGCCGGTGATGAGATCGGCAATGAAGATTTCGGCCATTGTAATAGCATTTCAAGAAAGTCATCGGCCATTTTATCTTTTTGTAAAATATTACTGTAATGAAAAATATAATTGCTTGACATGTATTGATGAATTTGGCTAATATTTATAGTTTACAAAAGGTTACCTAAACCGTGTAGAACTCTGCATATTATTTTCCTAAACCTACAAAAGATAAAACAATTTACCATAAATAATAAACGTAATCCTAAACATAATAGACTTATCTAGGGTTCGTTGTTATTAAAAAGAAATTAATAAAATTGTTAGTGTAGCTAGGGTGTGATTTGATAATGTATATGTATTGCATTAAAGAGGCAAATTTTTTTAAAAAAAAAAATAAAAAATAAAAAAAAAATCATTAACATATACCCTTACTATATAAAAAATACAAGTAAACTGTAAATAAAAATAAGGGTGGTGTAATAATGAAGCAATGAGATTAAAAGATGATTTAAGTACTTTGTAAGTACTCTGCCAATCGTTCTTTTGAACTTGTTTTCAACTGCTCACAAACCGGTCTCCTTCAGTCTCGGGCCTTCTTCCTTAGGCTTGACAATTTGACATTTATCGTTAGCAATCACGCGTAATTTAACATTGTAACTAGCTAGTGTTTAGCCCAGGCGATGTCCAGGGTCGATACGTTGAATATTAATGTATTATATATTTTATGTAGATGAATTTTACTTTTAATTTTTTTATATACATAATAATGTTAAATACTTCTATTTTAGATTTAGTTAAAGAAAATAATTTATAAACTTTAATTATCTAAATTATAATATATCTATATTTAGTATTTAAAAACTATAACCAAGAAACTAAAAAAGACACATGTCCTCATCCATTCTATTACACTTCTCTAACCATAGTGCCACGACATGTCATCTTACACTATTAATTTTTTATTACACCATTTTTTCTAATTCTTTCATTAAACTTATACTTCATCTTTTATACACATTTCATCTCTTAATATTTATCTCTCCCTTTTAATTAAACTTTTTCCTATTCTCTCTTTAATTTTAGCCCTTCTACCTTCTATTTAAGCCTCTTTTTCGATTAAAGTTCCAAAATTTTAATTTCTTTAATCATGTTTCCGATTACATATTATACCCTATAAATCTATAATAATTATTGATATTTCCTCACTTATCTCTTAATGCAATTTTATATGAATAACCCGTGCATTGCACGGACCAGAAGGCTAGTTAAGAAGAATAAGTGAGCTAAATTATTAGCTAGATAGCAAAATTGGTATGACTTCTTATTCATTTTTTTGGGGACCGAAATTGACCAAAACCCGGAATCGAATTTTTTTGGGGATTAGGACCAACCAGACCGTAATCAACCGGTCCGAGTTTCGATCCAGACCTGTTTATTCCGGTCCGGTCCGGCCCGATTTTGGACCGAGATGGACCAGTTACATTTTTTTCTATTTTTCTTTTTCATTTTAGTATCTTAATATATACATACATTTTTAACGTCAGATTTTTGTTTGCGTGCTTTCCTATTTTGCACCTAGAATTTATAAATTACAAGTTTTGTACCTAAATTTTTTAGAAATTTAAAATTTTCACCCAAAAAATTACAAAAATACACTTTCTGATCTATTCTGATTTTTACCCGGACCGGACTGAAAACCTGAAATCCCCAATTTGTGAGGACCGAAGACCGGATCGGAATCAACTGGTCCGATCCAATTCCGTACCCGTCCCGGTCGATTTTCCGATCTAGGTCCATTTCTGCACACCCCTATATAGTACTTGTATAGATTAGCGTAAACCATCTAATATGTGGAGTGAAGTATCCCAATTATGGTCAACCCTTTGGTCAAACTTCTCTCAATATGCTATGGTTAATGTAAGTCAACTACTCCGTAAATTTTAATTTTGAATTTAACACACCTTTAGACATTTTTAAAGGAATTTGCACAAAAAAAATGTTCTCCATACTTTTTAAATAAAGACACAGTGTATATATAATGATTTTTTTAAAAAAAAAAAAGAAATTATAAGAAGTACTCCATAAGTAAATAAGACAACTCAAATATAATTGACTAAATTGAGCATAATACTTTACTTCGCATTAAAATAAGACATCTCATGATTAATTGAAAATAAAGAACCTACGTGTCAAAAAAATAAATAAATAAAGAACCTAAAACCCATCTATCTATCTATCTATCTATATATATATATACTAAAATAGAGGACACTATATGCAAAGCTCCACATGTCATTCCACTATTAAAAAAATTTCCGCCCTTTTTCCCAATTCTATATAAAGCAATTGTCAAAATATATACTCCATATATTGTAGAAATTTTTATTGACTAACTAAATTATAATTTGATTTAATAATTTGCAAATTTATTAAATGAGATGTCATTTGATTTGCACTTTGCAATTTATAAATTTTTAAGACAAATTTTTGTATATGGCTGGACATACCGTGTAGTAGGAGTTCCCTCAGAGGTTACTTGAGGGGTTCAGATAGGGATTAATCTAGGGGTTATTCGATCAGGGGTTACTCGATTGGGCGGGGTGACTAGAGTTACTCGGTCAAGGGTTACTTTAGGGGTTCAATCAGAGGCTACTCGGCCAGGGATTACTCGGCCAGGAATTACTCGAGTAACCCCTTCCACACAGAGTGACCAGCCACGCCCACATAAAAATCCCCATTTTCAAACGGGACTTGTTAAACATCGCCCGCGTTTTTCTACATAAAGCCCACATTTTTTAAAAATTTTGACATTATTGCCCTTGTTTTAATTTTTACCGAAAATAAAAATTTTCACTCACCAAAAATGTGGAGCAGGACTGGATCGCCGAGTGAAACCGAAGAGCCCTCAACGTCGGCTAGATGCACCGGAGAGACGCCGTTGACGCCGGAAAAGGAGGTACGAAGCCATCTAAAACCACGAATTGGCGGCTGGCGTCCTGCCGGGACGCCATGAACGTAGTGGTGGCGCCTAGCCAGGACGCCGCCACCGTGGCGATGGCGCCTGGCCAGGACGCCGCCACCGTGGCATTGGCGTCTGGCCAAGACGCCGCCACCATGAAAGCGGCGTCCTGGCCAGACGCCATCGTCACGGTGGCGGCGTCCTGGCCAGGCGCCATCGCCACGGTGGCGGCGTCCTGGCTAGGCGCCACTGCATTTATTTATTTATTTTTTTTTTTTTAATTTAATTTAAATTTTGTTTTTTTTTTTTTTTTGTGTTAAAATTTTTTTTCGTTTTTTTTTTGGTTTTATTTTGTTTTGTTTTTAATTGTTTTAAAATGTAATGTAAAATTTTGTGTTTGATTTTTGTGTTTTTGATCGCTATGTTTTTAATGTTTATGTTTTTTTTTGGTTTTTATTTTTTATTTAATCTAAAGTTTTGTTTATGTTTTTTATTTTTGTGTTTTGTTTTGTTTTTTTTTTTTTTGAATACTTTTTGTTTATGTTTTTTATTTCTTTGTTTGTTGTTTATATTTTATTATTGTTTTTGCTTTTGTGCTAATGTTGTGTCAAATGTATTAATTTAAGCTAATCTTATGTGATTATATTTATATGTTATTGTTGCAGGATTATGGTGGAGACGGAAATGATTATAGTGGGATTTTTGTACACGATGGTCTGTTCGAAGATGCTCAACAAGCGGTTGATTGGGCGAAACATGTTGCAATTAGATCAGGTTTTTGTTTAGTAGTAGCAACTCATAAATCTCAACGGGATGGTAGAATGGATCGCATTTTGAGATGCGACCGTTATCGCAAAAGGGAGGAACGAGATTTCAGTCAAGCGATTCGGTTTGATACAAAGCGGAAAGGTTGTGGGTGTCAGTTCAGAGTAAAGGTTCGACAACAGCAAAGGGGTGACGGTTGGGAAGTGAAGAGTTACGGTAAATGGGGGTATCACAACCATGAGATGATCGCATATGAAGTGGGTCATCGACAGTTAAGTGGCCTAAGTCCTGGTGCGAAACTAATTGTAAAAGAAATGAGTGATGCTCAAGTGAAGCCTGCTAAAATATTAGCATCTGTGTTGGAGAAATTTCCTGAAGACCAGCCAAACCGAAGACACATCTACAACGTCAGACATAAATTGAGGTTTGAACGGTCAGAGGGAAGGAACCCTATCCAGCAGCTTCTACACCAGGCACAAGCACGTGGTTACCTGTACTGGTTTGAATCTGATGAAGACACATCGGAGGTGACTCATTTGTTCCTTGTGCATCCTGATTGTGCTGATATGATTTCGTCTTGGCCATCTGTGATTCTGATCGATTCAACGTACAAGACAAACAAGTATAAGTTTCCACTGGTTGAGATGGTTGGGATGACTCCAACGAACCAAAACTTTTTGATTGGTTATGCAGTTATGAAGGATGAGACGGTTGCGAGTTACCGTTGGGTGTTGGAGAAGTTGAGAAATTACATCGGCCCAAGTGTTCAGCCATCGGCCATCGTCAGCGATTGTGAGGGAGGTCTCTTTGCCCCTATAGCGGAGCTGTTTCCGGAGTCGAGTCATTTACTGTGCACATGGCACATCAACAACTGCGTGAAAGTCAAAGCCTACAACCTTTTCAACAAGAACTTAGATTCAGCAGAGAGATTGTTAAATGGTAAGTGGCGGAAGATCCTGCAAGCTACTACGGAGGCAGAGTACGACCGAGCCTTGGATAACTTCAAGGATGCATACCAATGGTGCCCGGCAATCGTAGACTATGTGATGCAGCAGTGGGTGCCTCAGAGGGAAAAGTTTGTCAAATATTGGACAAACCAAGTTCTTCATTTTGGAAACACTACTACATGTAGAGTTGAGAGCGCTCATAGAGCTCTGAAGGACTGGATTGATTCTTCCACCTCTGCTTTGGATACACTGTTCGGGAGAATAAACAAGGCTATTGATACTCAGAGGAACGGCATCAAGAACTCTCTCGAGGACTCCAGACGGCGACATGGCACGATGTATAGCCATTTCATATTTAAGATTCTCCATGGTCGTGTGTCACACTACTGCTTGGGGTTGATTCTGAGCGAGCACACCAGGATGAGGGAGTTGGGTGATGAAGTGGCTATTCGGTGCGGATGTGCTTTATCGGTGACTCATGGACTACCTTGTGCATGCACCATTCACCGCGTAATTACGCAAGATAGGGCGTCGTTACATGTTGATCAGGTTCATCCATTCTGGCGGACGCTCGTTATCGGAGAGCATGCTGTTCCACAGACAGTCAACCGTGAACAGGAGGAGTTGGAGCAGTTTCGTTCGATGTTTGACCAAGTGTCCTCCAGCCACCCTTCAATCATTCGTAGTGCTACCCACGTACTTCATGACATGTTCAACTCGTCGTGCTTGGATTATGAGGAACCTGAGGGGGTCGAGCGACCACGGGGCCGACAACCACGGCGGGAAAGGAGTGCGTTTGAGTATATTCGTGGTCGTGGTCGTGGTCGTGGCCGTGGTCGTACATCGTCATCAAGTGGTAGTCAAACTTCTTCGTCGGTGAATATGCCCGGCACCGGTACGGTACTTTAGTTTAATTTACTTTTTAGAGTGTTTGTTTAGTTTTCTGCTGACTTGTTAATTGTGTTTTTTGATGTGTGCAACAGGTAGAATGGACATTGAACATTTTCCATATAAAGACAGGATCCCTAACATCATGATGCCGTTCCTGGACGGGTGGAATGATGTGGTTGCAGATGGTAACTGCGGATTTCGGGTTGTGGCTGATGTGTTTCAGATGGGTGAAGACAACTACGGTTTAGTGCGTCAGTTGATGTACAGTGAAATCGCCTCAAACCGAGTTGTTTATCGCCACGTGTACGGACAGGACTTGGATAGGTCTCTGCAGCGTATCCGGTGGGGAGGAGGACGTTGCGGTCAAAATCATTGGTTCGACGCGCCACTTGATCTCTTCGCCGTTGCAAACATCTACAAGTGTGCAGTGATGCATTTCGGCCTTGGTTTGCATGGTGGAGCTTACTATCCATGTACCACGGTTCTGCCTTGGTGTTCGCGTGAGACCGTCACCAGACCGGTAAGAGAGGTTGCTATTGGATTTCTGGGGCCGTCATACAGACATTTCATCCGACTGGACCTGTCACCCGATTTTCCGGTCCCACCGATCATACCAACGTGGTACACCATTCGTACAGCAAGCGTAGAGGGCTGGGATGCGCTATATCATGACCGGGTGCAGCAGTGGAACAATCTAGTTGCCTTTTCTATGTGACCTTCTATTGTTATTGCTATTTAGTTTTCCCATTTAAATGTGAACTTGTATTTAATTTTCGTATGCCCACTAATTACAACTTAAAATAAAAATTATAAAAACTAAAAATATAATGTCAAATTCTAAGAACTTAAAATAATAATTATAAGAATAGATAATGTTAACTTTTACAAACAACTAGGAAAATGTTACATAAATGCACTGCCGACATATCAATAATCTCTCTGTGACGCCCACTGCCACTGCTCAAGGGCCCGTTCCAGTTCATCAATAACAGCTCTGCCTGTTGCAGTCGTCATGTTGTCCCTCTCCTCAAAAAGTCTGTGTCCCAACTGCGTCATCTTTCCCATCCACTACACATAACAAAACACATAAAATTCAATAACGACGTATTATATGAAAAAAAACACAACTACAAATGTTTTATGAGACGTACCGCATCCACGGCAGTGGGCGGTGGCACATCATCATCATCGGCGTCGTCGTCGTGGTGGACGTCTCTGATCAACCTCGGGTGCGAGTGCCGGTTGTACCACTCCATGTAGTGCTGGTCACACATGGCAGCCACCCCAGTTGGCGGCCGCTGCAGCTGCTCAATCCATATGCGGGCAACCATTGGAAACTGCTCCCACGTGCCAATCATGCTTGCCGGCCATTGGACGACGTACTCCTTCGACGACGCAGATCGGACGGCCTTACTGGGCCATGCTGGTGGAGGAGGAACAACTTGGACATATCCAAGCTGGCGAAGACAGCGCTGCGGCATGTACGCCTCTACGATCTCACGATACTGAATCAGTCCCGTGTAGAGGGTCCTGGGTACCCTATTACTAGGGTTCTGGCCGAAAGGCATCCAGTTCACCTGCACATTTTTTAAAATTAGTAAGATTCATACAATAAAAACATCAAACTATAAAAGTAGAAATAATTTAAACACTTTACCTCTAATGGGGACATCCTGTCAAGCAATAACCGTATCGATCGCAGGCGGTCAATGGACTTCTTCTCGACACGCGGACTCCACGCACAGGCACGTGGCTGGCCATCCCCAATAGGAACCGGGTCGCGGTGTGGTCGAAACGCCGGGAAATACTCGTATATCCACGTCTGTAACAACGTCATACATCCAGTGATACCTGCCGCATCAGCCCGGCTCGAGAATCCTAACTGGCGATACATGTACGCTAATGTAGCCGACCCCCAAGAAAACTGGCCTAATCTGTCGGGCTCACACGCGTCAACTATGTCGCGTGGCCTGAGCTTGTTTCCGCTCTTATCCGGAAACAAGGTACACCCGAGAAGAAGAAAAACATATGCAGCCAGCTGTGTGTCCTGCGTCCTACGTGAAGTGGGGTGCAAACATCGCTGCAAAACTGCTGCGATCTTAACACCGCCGTGATCCCACACACCAAGTGCCGCTGTGTACAGCGCAGCCCTATCCACCGCCAACAGCTCCGCCAATAAATCTGCCTGATCCGCATCTGTGACAACAGATGCTCGGTTTCCCTCTACGGGAATCCCAAGGATGGCCTCGACGTCATGCAACATGATCGTCATCTCACCGAACGGAAGGTGGAAAGAGTTCGTGTCCGGCTGCCATCGCTCAACGAAAGCCGTGATCAGCGTCGAGTCAATCCTCTCATGCATGGTGGCAGGAAGGTGGCTCACTCTAGTGCCCCTCAATCGGCCGACCATCTCGCTCTCCTCCGGCCAAGCCTCAGCCCAACTACACAAGAAGTTACAAGTCCTCTCCCGGGTTTGGCATTTCAAAATGCCGCTATCCAAAGCCCGCTCTTGGTCCTCCCAAATACGGGTAGCGATGTGTCCTAGAAAGCTAGGAATCACACTCCCGTCTATAGGTCCCCCAGCCACCTCGCCCCTCACCACCCAAGAATCATTAACGGCCCTCGACCGTTTTCTGCTAACCGCAGACACAGTGGACGCAGATGATGTGCCAGATCTACTAACAAATCTACCATCTCTACCCTTACGCACGTCTACCCTACGCGTCTCATACACATCATCAAGCCTCTGACTGAATGGACCGTAATCATCATATGGTCCACTCTGATCGTCCACATCCTCATCTGCATCCTCCTCCTCCTCCTCCTCATCACCGTCATCATCTTCATCATCCTCAGAATAGTGCACCCGTTCTCTACGAGCCGAGGCCGAAATACCACGGGATCTAACGTGTTTGGGCCCCGAGCTCTCCATTGAGTTGATCGTACTTCTCATAATGTCCATACTCTTCCCAGCCCCAGAACGAAAATACGATGCCTAACACAAAATAACAAAACATGTAATATGCAATATAAACATGTAATATACACATAAAAAAAGTAATTAAAATAAATAAATAAAACAATATACATATGATGGAAAATAAATTAAAAACATTACAAAATATTAACAACCTAAAAATAAAAAAATTAATAACCTAATAAATAAATAAATAAAAAATTGGAAAAAACAAAGCAAAAAAAAAAATTACCCAAAAAAAACAAATTGGAAAAAACAAAGTAAAAAAAAAATTAAAAAATAAAACGGAAAAACAAAAACAAAAAAAAGCAAAAAAAAAATTTGAAAAAATAATTCAAAAAAAAAATAAAAGAAAATGAAAAAAAAAAATTAAATTAGGGTTCCGGCGCCTGTCCCAGACGCCAGAGCCACGGTGCTGGCGCCTGGGCAGGACGCCGGTGCCACGGTGGTGGCGTGTGACGTGGACGCCGCCACCGTGGTACCGGCGCCCTGCCCAGGCGCCATCACCGTGGCAATGGGGTCTGGGACAGGCGCCGGAACCGTGGTGTCGGCGTCTGGGCCAAACGCCGCCGCCCAAACACCGCCGTCCAGCCACCAGTCGCCGCCGGGCCACCACCTTTTCCGGTTTTTTTTTTTTTTTTTTTTTTAAATAAAAAAATTTAAAAAAAAAAAACATACCTTTCCTCCTCCAAACCCCCTTGCTCCGGCCACCGGTGACGCCACTTCCTTGCCTTGCCGCCTCGACATTTTGAAAAAATATTTTCGAGAGAGAAAGTGAGACTACAAAGTTAAGAGAAGATGAGAGTGTGTTTTTTACTAGAGTAGAGAAAATATAATTTTAGTTCGAGGGCAAAAGAGTCATTTCACTTTTAATTTGTGGGCTTTATGTGGAAATTTGCGGGCGATGTTTAGCAGTTCACTTTTCAAACTATGAAAATATAATTGTTCAACAATAAATAAAAGCAAATAAACATAAAATATCATTTGCTAGACAATTTAATCTGATTATTTCAAAAATAAGTTGAATTGAACATAACCTTTGGTAATTAAAATAATATTTGATAAATGAACTTATAATACCGTGCAATTGCACCGGTACTATACTAGTAAATAACTAAATAAGTTCATTTTGATTAAACCTGGCAAATAAACGCATTCACTTTCTCTAACTAGTTCTTTTTTTTTTTCAATAATTGCCCAAATATTATCTCAAAGATGCATTTTTTTTCTTTCCTGCTCTTCAAATTATTATGCAAACGTTCAATTCCTCACTTGAATACACAAATTGACTGCAAAATCAGGTAATACTTTAACAGGTACAATTACTCAATTTTAAGCGACATTTTTATGTCGATTTTTATGCAAATTAAACTACATTTTGCTGCAAATTACCCTCGATTTGATGATTCATACCCGTTCATATTACTTGCCTGGATTTTTCAATATGTTTAGAATTTTCTGCGAGTTCGCTGCAAAATTGTTTGCATATAAAGATATAATTAATAGGAAAATTTTGATCACGGTTAAATTGATTTTAATTTTCTGTGAAATTATAAATAATGCAAAATTTTGCTATTCATATTCTTAATCGAAATGAAGTTGATTTGATGATTGAGTCAATTTGGTTGCTAATTTGATTATTAATTGATAGTAAAGATGTAATCTTTGCCAATTGCTATATCCAATTCAAAATACTGGAAATTCATATTCAAAGATATGTTCAAATTAGGTTTACTTGTTTCAATTTGTTTTTATGGTAATTAATTTGTTGTTAATAATTGAAATAATTGAAGAACATATAGTAGGTTGAATTTGATATTCAATGATACATCTTTTACCTAAGAGGTTGCTTCAATGGAGGATTCTCCTTTTAGTTGTTTCCTTTTTTTTCTAGCTACCAGTCTAATCTTGATTATAACTACTACCCTTCTTCTATTTCTATGCAGCATTCTAGGATTTAATAATTGATCTTCAAATTTAATTACCAGTTTAAAAGTTTGATCAATCATGACAATTTTTTATCAAACTTCAAATGACCTTAAGTCTTCAAGGCTAGTTATGCATAAACTTGGCGAAACTTTCACTGATTTTCAGACTCGCTCCTTTTCAATAGTTTCACTTTGTGAGCAATGGCGTACACTTCAGAGTTCTTTCTCTAAGGTTCACAGCTCGCTTGAGGAGCGAGTTAAGGAAGTCGAGGCGATAGAAACAGAAATCGATGTTGCAAAGAACAAGTTAAAGGATTTACAAACAGAGGTTGAATTGAGGAAGAAGAAGTTGGACTTGGGGGAGAAGTCATTGCGTGAGAGAATCAATGAGGTGAAAGAGTGGCGCGAGTCTTTGGAGTTGGAGAAGAGATTACTTGGTGAACGGTGTAAGGCGGTGGAGTTGGGAGAGAAGTGTAATAAGGAGGGTTTTGAGCAGGTTAAGGAGCAGCTGAAGGCGGTGGAGGAGAGGGAGAGAGTGATTATGGAGACTTGGAGAGTATTGAAGAGATGGTGTTGAAGGCAAAGGTGATGAGTGAGCGAGGCAAAGCATTGGATGCCAAAGAGAAGGAATTGAATATGAAGGAAAGTGTGTTGGAACAAAAAGAGGTAAAGTTAGAGGGGGATAAGAATGACATGAATGAGTTATACTTCGCGCTTGAGCTTAAGGAAAAGGAGAATAATGTGCAAAGCTCAATGTTAAAGTCTAAAGAGAAGATGTTGGGGTTGAAAGAGAAGTAGATTGATGAGCGTAGTGAAGTGTTAGAGGCGAAAGAGAAGGGAGTATTTGAGGGTACAAAATCTATGGAGTTGGAACGAAAGCAAATGGATGAGCGGTCTAGACAGATTGAATTGAAGGAAAAGGAAATTGAGGAACAAATTCTAGCATTGCGTACGAAAGAGAAGCAATTCTATAGCCATGAAAAAGAGTTGGTAGTAAGGGATGATAACCAAATTAATGATTGCAACAAGGGTTTGGAGTCGAAAGAGAATGAACTTGATGATCAACTAGACAAGTCATTAGAGGAGCAATGTAATGGGTTTCAAGAGAAGCAAAGTGGTAAGCAAACTAGTTTACTGCAACATATGTTCACTCTATCACTTCCTTCTTTTGTTGCTTTTAAAAGCATCAGTAGGTTTTCTCTTTATAGGACCTTGAAGTGTTCGATTGTTTCAACACTGATATTTCTTGTTTGATTGTTTAGAAAGCAGCAGTTTGACAAAAGTGAGGCCGGAATTACCTGACTCAGAAATCCACAAAGTAGCATGTCCAAAAGATGATTTCTCCTCATCAAATATTGCTGGTGAACGAATTCGTTCATATTGCATTAATATGGATGCAGTTTTGGTGAGGTCTTATTTATTTGAGCATGCAAAGGCAAAAGATATATCATCTGAGGGGATATTGGATGCTCTTAGATATGCTCCTGATCCCAGAAAGCTTGTTATTGAAGTTACTCGAACATTTTACCAAAGATTCTCAGATATGGATACAGCCACAATTCATAAAGATAGTTGCATATTGTTGTTGGAGCAGTTAATGAAACTATCACCTCCAATCATGGATGATGTCAAAGAGGAAGCAAGGCAATTAGCTATTACTTTTAAGGACACCAAGGGCAGAACTCCAACAGATAATTACGGGTTTTTGCTGTTTGTAGCTGCCTTCGAGTTAGCAGATTGTTTTGATGCAAATGATCTTGTTTTTATGTTTGGTTCATTGTATGGTGGACCTAAGATTTATTGGCATGAGCAGCAAGTGTTATGCAGTGCATTGGGACTTTCGGATAATATTCCAGGTAATATATCTTCTTTGTCTTCTATGTAAAGTTGCGAACTGGGACAATTTGTAATTCTACTTTGTTAGGATTTATTTTATTTTATTTTATTTTATTTGAAGTGCAAATGGTGTAAACGGGAACCAGATTCTTGGTAACACATTAATCAGCAAAGATAATTTAGTTGACATCCATGCTTTGTTGAGAATTATACAACTCATGAACATAATTTAGTGACAAAGCATTGGTTTTTCTTTGAAATAAGAACTAAGCTGCTTGTGAGAACCACCATTAATTAGTACAATTTGAACTACAATCAGGGGAAGATTTTTTCTGTGAAAAGAAGGGAGATATAAGAATAATTATAAAGGATCTTGTATAAGATTATTATTATTGGATGGATTCGCATATCGAATCTGTTCTTGAATCATACCGGAGTGTCATGCTAAAATGTTCGAAAAAAACCTGCTATGCTGCCAAAAAAAAAAAAACTTTGATCAATGTTTTCTATGTTGCCTTTTTGTGTAGCATTTTCTTGTCTTTGATTGGTTTATTTTGTGAAGAAGGGAGACATTAGAATTCATGGCAAAAGTATATCATGTTTGTATATCCAGTATCAGAAATGTAGGTTAGGATATCCAACATACTACATTCTACGAAATATTAAATTCCAGTGTATTTTCTTTCTCTCCAGAGAAGGCCTAAAGCTGTAGTTTAGTCGGTTTTTCTCGGTTTCTATTTTGAATTTTTCAATAGTACAGACTACGGAGTGCAATCTAGTAGTTCTGCGAAAACCTGCATGTGTTTTTGAGTAATCTTATTGGCTTTTTGAATCTGCTCACCCTGAAATGGGCAGGCCTTTAAATTATTACCAACCTAAGTTTGTTTCTTCATTCAAATGAATCACTCTCTTGATAAATTATATGAGAAACAACGGAGTACTTCTTAGCTTAGCTTCCTAGTTTTTAAGAATGTTTCTTTCATTTCTTGGCTAAAATTTTATAGAGTATAAATTTAATGTGATTTTATTCTCTGTTTTGGGCTTTTGGTTGATGTTCTCTTTCTTTTATCATCAAGTTTGTACATCTATGGTGCTCATTTGTTGTTTTTTAGAATTATCTTAGTACTTACCTACATACTCTTAATGTACCCGTTTTTTTTTCCCTTTTGAATTGAACAGGACTTATTAAGTTTTATATTGAAAGACATAAGCTGCTTACAGCAGTCAAGTGCATTTGTATTTTTAAGCTGGAACATATATTTCCGCCAGTGCCTCTGCTGGAAGGTTACTTGGACCTTAAAAACAATAAAGTAAATGAGAAACGGAAAGAGGAAAATTTTGATTCCAAGGTAAATTTATAACATGACTCGTTCTACTCTCTATATGTTATGCTATATGTGATGTGACTAAGGTCATTTTTGCACCGTATTTCACATGCTTAATGAATATGAGAATAATTAGAATTCAAGTTTTTGCATCATTTGTTAAGTTATTCGTTGCTGTGTTTTGTTATTACTGTCATATTATTTGCCTGATTTGGGACCTGAACATGTATATCCGACTATTTGTATTCTAATAACTCATTTCGTTCAGCAATTTAGCCTTTTGTTTTTAAACATCACTTTCTTGCAGAACTAGCTGATGATTTGAATCATGGACAAATTAAACTTACCTGTTTTTTCCCCAAGTAATTAAGAAATCATGTGCATATTAACTTCTGTAAAGTATGTCCTAGTTGTTAAAGAGTATGTAATACAAAGTATGTCCTAGTTGTGTAGTACTCCCGTTTTTTTTTTTTTTTTGGCGTTTCTGATTTTCATGGACAAACTATCATATAATTATGGTATTTTGTTTACAGATTGTTACTGACATGGAATTGTGCATGCTTCGAGAACTTACTAGCTGCATTGCTACTTGTAAGCTTGAGTCGAAATTTCCACCTGATTCCTTTCTATTGCGCATTGAAGAATTGTTAAAGGAGAAAAAAGATAGGAAGGTTGCTTTAAAGCAATGGAATAAGCGCAGTGCTAGTTCTTGTGAATCTGTAGCAAGTCCAAAACAGCCAAAAAAGCGTCATAGAGTGAGAGAAAAATAACTGCACCAAATAGCCTCCTTAACCTGTGTTAAGTATATTACACCTCAGCAAGTTGTTATAACAACTTGTGACACGTCAGACGGTTTGTTAGAGGTTGTTATAAGTTGACAGCTCATCTTTTACTCTGTAATAAAATCTAGCTAGCTGGTATTAATAGCTATGCAAGTTGTATTTTCCGAAATTAATTCATTCCAGTCTTTCTCTCTCTTATTCAATGATGTAAAGACTTTCTCTCTCTAAAACTTCCTCAATGAAATCCGTCCTTCTTCCTTTATATTGTTCTTCATCAATTTTTTGATTTCTGGATAATTTTTGCAAGTAAATCAGGAATTCTTACAACCTGGTTCGAGATTGTTAGTCTAGGTGAAATGTGAATGCAGAATTGTAGACTGATAAAGTAGATGTTCATGTTCTAACATGTGCATCTCTATAGGTTTATAACACAATTATTCGGTCCATGACTTTCCCATTTCACATTTCATAGTCTTCACATGTCTACAATGCTTTCTCTGTTTCTTTTTAGTTGCACCACTTTTAAAAAAACATCATAGAGTAACTGAGTGAGTGCATCTGTAAGTTTATAACACAATAATTCGGTCCATGATTTTCACATTTCATAGTCTTCACATGTCTACAATGCTTTTTCTGTTTCTTTTTAGGTACACCACTTTAAAAATTACGAATTCCTCGACATTTTTTGGAAATGAGAGAGATGGAGAGAATGAAAAAAGTCTTATATGATAGGACTAAAGGAGAGAGACGGAGAGAGTTTATTAATTTAAAAATAAAATAAAGCATCTAAATTGAAACTTTAAATTACAAAGTACATAATTAGTTAGCATCGTATAGTTTGGATTAGGCATGGCTTTAGTGCGGATAGATAGGTCCAGCATGTTGATATTTGGTGGAATAGCATGCATGTTGAATGTGTTCCTTCTAAGATGCTCGTTCTTTTTCTCTTTTCCCTTGTATAATATACGTAGTATTTTGTACTTCGTATTATTCTTCATTATCATTTCGTACAATTATCATGTATTTTACTTCAATTTCAATGATATGTGATTGAAAATTTCTTATGCATTACTCACCCACTCTTCTTCCTCTAAATTGTTATGCATGATCACCATTTTAATTTTTCCTTAGTTCCGTAGCTACATCTAACCGAGAATTGATGAAAACTTTTTTTTTTGAGTAAAGAATTGGTGAAAACTGAGAATGCACATGTTATAATATTTAAAAAAAAAAAAATTATATATACCATTTTTTTTATTGTTAAAAATTATTTTATTTAAATTAATACAACCCTTCTTGAATATTTTATTTAAATATTTTTTAATTTATTGTTATTATTTGAAATATTTAATTTCTCTCATCTTATGGTTCAAGCCTATTGATAATCATACCTACTTTATTTCCTTGCATGTGTAAAATAAAAATATGCACGGATACAATCTAATTACAATTAATATACTAGTATTTTTTTTAAAAAGGAATCTATTATATAATTTAAGAGTAAGTTAATGAGGTTTCTCCAAAACCCCAACTTAATTCTCATGCATTCCCCCTTATTTATTTATTTATTTATTTATTTTTTGCAATATCCTCCAAATAACTTCCATGTTTTTTTAAAACAAAAATAATCCTCCAAATAACTTCCACTTCTTTTCCAAAAATAAAAAAATAAAAAAAAACCTCCACTTCTACTTTTTTTAGTATTTTTCCTTTTTTTATTATTATTTTTCCTAATAACACACATACTATCCATTTTAATTAATATAACAAAAAAAAAATTACACAAAAAATTACCAATTTATTAATCTAATAATTATCAAAACAAAAATAGCACGTTTTCTACGCATTGCCGATTGGAACACAAAAAACACTAACTCGGTAATTTTCTAACCGAGCTGAGTAACCCTTACTCGACAAGTATCCCCTGACTGATTAACCCTTGATTGACCGAATAACACCTAACAGACAAAGTAACCCCAAATCGAGTAACCTCCGACCGAGTAACCTTTGACATATCGTGTAACCCCGGACTGAATGAGTAACCCCTAAATAAATAACCCCACACGATGTGCCAACCACATATAAAATTTTGTCAAACATTAAATGTATACATTATGTTTTCTATGCAACTAGTCACAACGTATGACCACTTGCAAAAGAACAAAGTAACATTTTTAACATTGACTAATATTTCAAATAATCGTTTAGTAACTACCTTATTATTAATTCAATAATTATCAACACAAAAAAAATTATAAATTAAAATAAACAACATATTTTTCGTGTGACAAGGCACCAGTGTAGTTGCTTGCAAAGGAACAAAGTCACTCCTATAACACCGACGGAGTTACCTCTATAACACTGAATGGATAACCCCTATAAAACTAATAAAGTACTCCCTCCGATTTTTTTTAATGCATCACTTGAGAATTTGCTCTATTTATATGTTACATTTGAAAAATAATTTTTGTTATTAGATTTATTTTTAATATCATTTTGTAAAATATATATCCCATGCACCCCGTGCATTTTGCACGGGTACACTCTAGTCTAATATATAATTTCAGAGTCGTTTTCACGACAAGCCTCCAAATCCCCAATCCTCAAATCTCATGCATTTGAGGGTGTTTTTTTTTTTTAAGAAAAAAATAACTACTTATCCCACAACTAATTTTTTTAGTCATTTTAAAAAAAAAAACTACCCATCAAATACCTTCTTTCTGTTTTTCTTTTTGTTTTTTTTTTTCAAGGAACTACTACTAACATTTCACTTTTTTTTCTTTTTCTTTTTATTTTTATTTTTATTTTTATTTTTTTGGATACGTAGTATATATGACAAGCATTAGCACGAGTATACAGTTCCTTCATCAACTATTCACAATAGCACTCAAAACCCCCAACATTTCACTTTTTTAAAACAATATGTACCAACATTTCACTTTGTTTTACGAGTATTTTTTGATACATAGTATAATATATGTCATGCATTAGCATGAATATATAGTTCTTTTATCAATAATTCACTAAAGTACTCTAAATCCCCCACCCTTCAATTATGTGCATTTTTTTAGGGACTACCCTCTAAATAATTTTTACTACTCTGATCATCAAAAAAAAACGTACAACACGTTTTTGCGCAACTGACCTCACCGAATAACTATTTGCAACAGATTAAAGTATATAACTCCTAGAGCAAGACACTAACCCATATGACACTAACTGAGTAACCCGAGTAACCCCTATAACACTAAACGAGTAACCTCTATAACTTTGACAAAGTAAACCCCATAATAGCTAGCTACATTGCGTGGCCACCGACATAAAAGAGTAAGGCCCTGTTTCTTGAGCTTCTAAGCAAAGCAGGTGTCAGAACGACAAAACAAGTGGCAACACATTATTAATACGATTATTAATACTCACTAGCGCAAAGCTGAGCAAGGTTCAACAGAGTCGACCAGTCCAAAACCAACTAACCATTGCAGCCCAAGTATAAATTACAACATCAAGATCAACTTTCCATATTTTAAATATATATTTTTTTATATATCCCGTGCATTTTGCACGGGTACACCCTAGTTACAATTAATAAAGAAGAAAAAAGAAAGGTAAGGAATTACCCAATGTCAATTTATTTTTTTGGGATATTATCAATGGTACATCCAAGGTTCGGTCTTTTATCAATGGTACACCAACTTAGTTTTTGTTTATCAGCGGTACACCCAAGGTTTCACACGATTATCAACTATACACTTAACGTTAAACAAACCTTAAGTAAAGGTTAAGTTGGGGTTTAATTCGATTTTTTTAACTTAAAAAATTCCCTCCCTTTTTTCCCCTCTTCATTTTCCCTCCTTTATGTACTCTACCCTACCCACCCCTCTTCCTCTATATATAGTTTCCCTCCTTTCTGATTTTCCCTTTTCACACACAAACATACATATATCTACTCAAACACACCCAATTCGAATTATTTGTGCAAAAAATACAACAATAAAGCAACAAATAATAATCTCAGGAACATTGTGCATAATTTAAACCATAATTCGCTAACAATTAACCAAAATTCAACCATTTAAACAAAAAATTCATATACTACCAAAACTAAGCGAAAGTCATAAAATCAAAGACTCGGATGAAAACTTACCTTAAGCGATCAACAATGAAGTGCAGAATTTGCTAGAATTTTGTTCAATTCGCTCGTCGATTATGGAACCTCACATCAGCAGAAAAAAGGGAGAGAGTGAGAAGGAAGAAGAAGATGAACGATCTTTTGACTTAGGAGTTTTTAATATAGGTTTTGAGGTTTGAAAGGAGCGATTTAATGTATTTAGAGTAGGGGGGAAAATTAGTCATTTCATTTTAAGTGGATTAACCTGAAATTAACCTTTAACGTTAGGGTTACTGTAGATGAGTATATTAAACCTTGGGTGTACCGCTGATAAACAAATACTTAGTTGGTGTACCATTGAAGCCCGAACTTTAGGTGTACCATTGATAATTTCCCTATTTTTTTTAATGTACTTTAATTATTCTTTTTTGTATTTATTAATTCCTGAAAAATGCCGATAAGGAACTAAGGGGACGGAGAGAATAATATTTTGTTCGTGATAATCTCTTTAAACAGCACGATCGCACGATCACCAAATTATATAAACTCTCGCTGTTTTCATTCCTCTTTTTAAACATAACCGCTACACTTGTTCTGTTACTCTACACAGAATTCTAGGGTTTATCCCTTTTCCAAAAGATTGATCAACCATGACAATTTTCGATCAAACTTCAAACGACCTCAAGGCATCACGTCTAGTAATGCACAAACTCGGCGAAACTTTCACCGATTTCAAGATTCGTTCCTTTTCGATGATTTCACTATGCGAGCAATGGCAGACACTCCAGGGTTCTTTTACTAAAATCCACAACTCCCTCGAGAAGCGAGTTAAGGAAGTCGAGGCGAAGGAAAGAGAATGTGATGTGTCGAAGAACAGGTTACAGAATATACTAAAGGAGGTTGAGTTGAGGCAGAAGAAGTTGGACTCTGATGAGAAGGTGTTGAGTGAGAGAAGTGAGTTTGTAGGGTTGAGAGAAAAGGAGGTGAGAGAGTGGAGGGAGTCTTTGGAGTTGGAGAAGAAGCGGAATGTTGAGGGTTTCGAGCGGGTTAAGGAAATGCTGAAGGCGGTCGAGGAGAGGGAGAGGGTTGTTAAGGACAATGTTGAAGAGATGGATTTGAGAGCGAAGGTGATGAGTGAGCGAGGGGAGGTGTTGGATGTGAAGGAGAAGGAATTGGATGAAATGTACTTTGCACTCGAAAAGGAAAATAATGAAAAAAGTGGTTTGTTGATGTCGAAAGAGAAGGTGTTAGGGTTAAAAGAGAAGGATATTGATGAGCGGTGTCAAGTGTTAGAGGCGAAGGAGAAGGAAATGTTAGAGGGTGTTAAAGCAATGGAGTTGAAACAGAAGGAGATTGATGAGCGAAGTGGATTGTTAGAGGGTAAAGAGAAGAAAATGTTGGAGGATGCAAAAGCGATGGAGTTGGAACGAAAGCAAATGGATGAGCGGTTAAGACTGGTGGAGTTGAATGAAAAGGAAATTGAGGAGCGATTCGTTGCAATGCAGGCTAAAGGAGTCATAGTAAGGGATGATAGTCAAATTAATGAGTCCAACAAGGGACTAGACGCGAAAGAGATTAAGCTCGATGATCAATTAGACGGGTTATTGGAAGAGCAACCAGATGAGCATCGCGTACTTTCTGATTGTCAAGCACAAGAGTTCGAAGAGAAGCATAGTGGTGAGCAATCTAGCTTTACTATTTACTACATTACTTTGTTCAATTTTTATAAACAATTCTCGTATTTACAAACTTTACTTTGACTAGCATTTGTGAATTATAAATATAATTAAGAATGTTGGATCTTGTTAAAGGCTTACAGTGGTCTAAAATTATATTTATAGTATAGCAACTTTTCATAAATTTACAATTGTGAAAATAGGAACATGAAGAACAGAGGAAATGTCCTGTAAAAAAAAAGAACAGAGGAAATGTAAGCACGATTTAGTCACAAGGGTGTAACACCCCTATACTTACCCTCTTCTAAACTAAGACAGCTGATAGCCTCAAAACTTCGTAGTTTCACTTGTTTGTTGCTATTAGAGTATCGATTTCTATTTATAGGACCTTCAATTAATACCGAAATTTCTTGTTTGATTTGTTTAGAAAGTAGCAGTTTGAAAAACGTGAGGCAGGAATTACCTGATTCTGAAAACCAACAAGAAGTAACATGTTCAAAAGATACCTCCTTATCAAATATTGTTAGCCATCGAACTCATTCATACTACAGTGATCCATTATTTGCGAAATTTTATTCAATGGATCATATGAAAGAGAATGGTGTATCACCTGAGGAGATATTGGATGCTCTTAGATGTTCTCCTGATCCCGGAAAGCTTGTTTTTGGAATCACTCGACTGTTTCATCGAAATTTCTCAGATAAGGATACGACCACAATTTATAAAGATAGTTGCATTTTGCTGTCAGAGCAGTTAATGAAGCTATCTCCTCCAATTATGGATAATGTCAAAGAGGAAGCAAGGGATTTAGCTATTACTCTTAAGGCCGCCAAGGGCAGAACACCAACAGATAATTTCGGGTTTTTGCAGTTTATAGCTGCGTTCAAGTTAGCAGATTGTTTTGATGCAGATGATCTTTTATCCATGTTTGGTTCATTGTATGGTGGACCTAAGGTTTATCGGCATGAGCAGCAAGCGGTTTTATGCAGTGCATTGGGGCTTTCGGATAAGATTCCAGGTATGTATCTTCATTATATCTATGCTAATGTGCTAAATTGACTATTTGTAATTTGCTTAATTGGGAATTCTGTTTTTGAAGTTAAATAGTATACACAGGATTTGATTCTTGGTATCACATTTAAGCTAATCTAGGTGACATAAACTTTGTTGATAATTATACAACTCATGTACTCAGTTTAGTATCTCCTTAAAAAAAAAAAAATTGTACTCAGTTTAGTGAACGAAACATTCATATTGCTCTCAATAAAAACTTAACTTAATTGTGAGAACCTCTTTATAATATGAAGTACTAATATAGTTGCAGGGGTATATTTTTGCAGTAAGCTTTTATGAGATTATTAATATTCGATGAATTCACATATCGAGTTTGTTCTTGAATCATAACGGAGTTTCATGTATGGTTTTACAATAAAATATTTGTAAACACCTGTAATTCTGCCAAGGCAGCATACTTTGATCTATGTTTACTATGTGCTGTCTTTATGTGTAGCATTTTTCGTGTCTTTAGTTGGTTAATTATGTGATGAATGAAGACATTAGAAAGCATGGAAAAAGAATACTATGTTTGTATATCAGAAATATAGGGTAGGATATTGAAAAGTTGGTCTATAAAATTTCAGTGATAGCTTCTCTCCAGAGAAGGCCTCCTTAAAGCTGTAGTTCTGTCATTTTGAATTTTTTTGTAGTACAATCTAGCTGCAGCTAAGTCTCATGAAAACATGCATGTCTCTCTCTTTTTTAAACTAAGGAAGGTCGGCCTTGGTGTCGATCCATTTGTAAAGCAGAGGTATAAGTGTAGATGTCCTACAGGAATCATTGTGAGATGTATATTGTTGCTTGTCCATATCCTATTTGAGTTGTAGAATTTGTTCATCCTGAAATAGGCAGGCATTTGAACATTTACAGCACTTTGTTTTTTGATTCAACTGAATCACTCTTTTGAAAATTTACAGAGAATATTACAGCCTACTTAATAGTACTGCTTGGCTTAATACAAAGTAGTTTTTTTTTTAAAAAGTTCCTCCTTTCATTCTTTGGCTGTTAATTTCATGTAGGATTATGAGTTAAGAATGTTCCTTTCATTATTTGGCTATAAAATTCATATAGGATTACGAGTTTAATGTACATTTTTTTAATATCCGGTTTGGCTTGGCTACCCTTTCTCTTATCATTAATTTGTACATCTATGGTGCTCATTTAGTGTTTTTTCCGTTTCAAATTGAACAGGATTAATCCATTCTTATATTGAAAGAAATAAGTTGCTTACAGCAGTCAAGTGCATCTGTGTTTTTAAGCTGGAACATCTATATTCGCCAGTGCCTCTACTGGAATGTTACTTGGACCTGTCTCGTAAAAGAGTGAATCAGAAACGGAAAGAGGGAGCTTTTAGATTTGAGGTAAATTTTTAGCACGATTTTATATAAATATTATGCAATATGTGATGAGACTAAGTCATTATTATTACGCTATATATGTATATATCATATGCTTAAAAGAACATACTACGCATAAGAGGACAATTAGAATTCATCTTTATGTTTCATTTGTTAATTTTTTTCATTGCTATTTTGTTACTGTCATAATAGTTGCTTGATTAAGGGCCTGGGACATGCACCAAACATGTATATCTGACTTGTATTCTATTAGAAGCTCATTTAGTTTAGTATATTAGTAACTTTTGTTTCTGACATCACTTTCTTGCAGAATTAGTCGGAAATGATATTCTCAGGTCTCTGTGTGTCCTGCATTTCTTTTTCTTTGCTACTGTATATTGTTTCGGAACTTAACATAACATAGTTGATGATTTGAATTAGTATGTAAAAACTTGCCTCTTTTTTTTTTTTTTTTTTTTTTTTTTTTGATAAGGTATGTTCAAGTTTTGGCTTGCTCAGGATCTAGCTATATATATTTGGTACTCGTATTTTGTTTGGAATTTCAGGTTTTCATGGAAAATTATCTTTTATAATTTTGGCCTTTAATTTTGTTTACAGTATGAAGCTGAAAACATGGAATTAGCCATTCTTAGAGATGTTACTAGCTGCATTGCCACTTTTAAGCTTGAGTCGAAATTTCCACCTGATTCCCTTTTATTGCGCATTAAACAAGTGTACAAGAAGAGAAAATTTAGGAAGGTTGCTTCGAAAAATCAGAATAATAAACGCAGTCCAAGCTCCTGTGATTCTGTGGCAAGTCCAAAACAGTTTAAAAAGCGTCGTAGAGTGGGGAACAATCACAACACCTAGTAGCGCCTTAACCTGGCATGTTCGAGCTTTGTTTGATGAACATAGATGGTAAATTTGGTGCTCTGATCTGTGTATTTCTGTAACACAAAATAATTTTGTCTATGATCTTCACACATGTCTATAATTGTTTTAGTTAGCATGAAAATCTGAAGGCATACATTTTAGATTAGGCATAAATTTAGTATCTAGTTGATATTGAGTACAAATTTAATGAAAACTTATTGTTACACAGCATTTGAAGTAGCTTGGCTACCTAGTTTACATTTGAAGAATTAGTTTAAAATTTTCTTCCTTCAGATTTTGTAAAATTAAAACAAAATCATTTGAATTTAATATGCTTCTACTTTATCTAATGTTTGAATTCAACAAATGACTACATTGATCGTGTTCTTGATGTTATCATGTTAATCACTAAAATGGTAAAAATCTTACTACCTCCATTACATATTAGTTATGATTTGAAATATTTTATATCTCACAAATAATAAGTTGCAACTAATGTGTAACGGAGGTAGTACTTTAAAATTATTATTAAGAGTTACATAAACAAAATTACAAACCTCTTTAACTAGCATATTCAAAATTAGCTTTTCAGAAACAAGTTTTCTAATCCTCCCATGACCAATCACTCTTGTTAGATGTTAGATTAATCAAGCTTTCAAACCTCTCTTTTTGCCCCAAACTTTCATCAAACTAACCCTTCACGGCTTCGCCACAGTGTATTTCATTTATTTCTTTTGCCCACAATTGTGTGCAACAAAGGAATATTTTGTATATCACAAATAATACCCCTTTGTTGCATATAATTGTGAACAGAGTGCGTGAGTAATTTAACTTGTTTTAGACAAAATAAATTCAATTATAGTAAAAATAAAATTTAATATTATATACAATATCAAGCCCACGGTATGATGTTATCATGTATACATTGACAAAACAAGCCAAATAAAACCTAACTTAGTTTAGATCTAGCCTAAAACCCTTACACTTAGGCCCAAGACATTCAATACCAAAACAAGGTTATTAACTTCATCCTAGGGGTGTGCAAATTTGGGTTCGGTTACCGTTTAGGAATTTATTTCAAGTAACCATTATTTTTGGGTTGCAGTTTATCCAAAAATTCGGTACTTGCTGAGGTATCATGTATTTTCGGGTTGCAAATTGCTTAAATAAAAGCCACATAAAATCTAATTAAAATAGAAAATTATTGGAAAAATTGAAAAAGAAAAATTCAATCTTTGAGCGATCTTCTCATAAAAATCCAACCTTCCATTAATCTCATAAAAATCCAACTTTTATACCCCACCTTCTTCAACAGATTCATTACCTGTTGATGACCGATTTTTGTTAGTTATGTACCACGTGTCAGCCATTAATTGGTCAATTAATTTTTTAATTATTTAAAAACAAAATTAATTAAAAATAAAAAATAAAATCAGACCAGCCAACCCCACCCTCCCTCCCTTACCAACCCATCCTTACCGTCCCTGACCACCCCATCTCCACCGTCCACTGGAACCCAGCGACACCAGCAACAATCCAGCAACCCAAAGGCAACCTCCACAGTCACCAATCAGCAAATCCAGCTCGCACCACCGCCCATATATCTCCATTTCCACCCTCCATTTCAGCAGCCTCGCAAACCGCGCCCAATCATGATCACGGCCAGCCAATATTAGGAGCCCGAAATCCCAAACCAACCACCAGTTATGCTGCTGCCGCCACACCTGCTCCAACCCACACCAGTTAACAACCGACCACCGCAACGATTCCAGAACTTAACCCGCACCACGGATCGATCATCCACCATCAATTAAAAATTGCAACCACCGACTCCCAACCAACATTTACCTCACGCAACATTCCACCAACCCAAAGGCAACCTCAACATCCATTATTGCCTCACATCGCCACCAATTGCAAACTGCACACAACAAATCGCAAACCGCAAATGGCAAATCGCAAACCTAGGTAGAGTGGGAGAAGGGTTTCGGTTTAGGATTTGGGTAGGGATGGGTAAGTGGTTGCAGAGGTGGTGGTGGCGGAGGTGATTGCTGCTCTGTTTCAGTTTTTGAGGAGAGATAGAGGGTCTGATTTGATTGTGAGAACTGGGAAGCCTGAGAGGGAGAATGAGATTAAGGGAGGGGTAAGTTGTGGCAGAGGTGGTGGTGGCGAAGGTGACGGCGGCATAATCTGTTAAAGGTTGGATTTTTATGAGATTAATGGAAGCAATTTCAAGTGGATTTGGCAAGCGGGCACCTTGCCAAAAATCAAGTTTTTCCTCTGGCTCCTCTCTAAGGATAGGATCCCTCATAAGAGCCTCCTCTGTAATCGTCACATCATTGATAATTCTAATTGCCCTCGTTGCATCTCTAATGTTGAGGATCCTATCCATACCCTTAGGGATTGCCCTCTCTCAACAGCCGTTTGGGACTTGACTCAAGCAATGGATAATGATCTTTTGCAAGGTAAGATTGGGGGGTGGCTTGAGACTAATTTAACCACTAATCTTATAGTAGATCTCCCTTGGAAAACTCTGTTTCCTATTTTGTGTTTTGAAATCTGAAAAGCTAGAAATAAGCTCGTCTTCCAAAATGAACCATTTCCTTCCCCTCAAACCATTTTATATCTTGCCACCTCACAAGCTCGGGAATTTAGGCTAGCTAAAGGTGTTGATACCTCTACTCCAATCCAGTCTATCCATGTCGATCCTATACACTCTCCCCATTTTCATATGCTCCATGTTGATGCCTCTTTTGTCAAAGTTGGTGAACCAGCAGCTGTTGCAGGTAGGGGTGCTAAACCTTCGAGCTGAGCCTGAACAGTGGTAGGCTTGGCTCGAGCTCGTTTATCACACAGGAGGCTCGGCTCGAGCTCAAGTCTCCAAACGCAAGTTCGGCTCGGCTCCAGCTCGTATGTTTAAGTTGTTTTATGCTTGCGTCAAGCTCGATTATAGGCTTCCATAGTTGAAGGTTTCTTGATGAGTTGACGACGGTAGAGAACTGAATCTGATCGAGGGTGGAGCGCCGATCAACGGTGGTCATGAATTAATGAGTGTTTGACGGCTATGCGTGAAGCTGTGCTAGTTTGAGCATATATGGAGTGTTTGACGATTATTGATGCCTGACGGTGGAACCGATTTACAGCGGTCGTGAGTTAATTGAGTTTTGATGGGTTATGGGTATGCTGTGAAATTGTGATTGTTTGAGTATTGAGTGTTGACGGCTATGCTTGAAGAAAGAGATGTAGTTAGGAACTTAGGGTTAAAAAGTTCAAACAAACAATTGGGCTGAAAAGCCTGTAAACCACTAAGCTTCGCTAAAAATCCCAAAGGTATTTAATATGTATATTTCATTTTAAATATATTTAAAAATAATTAATTTATATTTTTAAAATTTGTATTTTCAAATATATATATTTTAATCGAGCCTATTCACAAGCTTTTCGAGCCGAGCTTTAACTTGCTTGACTTGGCTCATTAAGGTTCCGAGCTGATCTCGAACTCGAATTGAGCCTTGTCGAGCCGAGTTTGACCGAGCTTTGATCGAATCGAGCTCGAATAGCTCACCAATAGCTCAGTCTCATTATCACCCCTAGTTCCAGGGATTATTAGGAATCATGATGGTACGTGGTGCATTGGGTTCTATCAACGGGTCTATGCAAAGTCCCCCCTTGTGGCAGAGCTGATGGAAATAAGGGAGGGCTTGAAATTGTTGCAGCAAGAAAACCTATACCACACCATCATCTATTCTGATTGTTTTAATGTTGTTGAAATGCTCCATGATCATGACTTTGTTCTTAATATGTATAGCAATGTGGTAAATGATTGTAGGGAGCTATGGAGGCCAGAGATGGAGGTGCAAATTAACTTTGTAGGAAGACAATGGAACACGCTAGCAGACATGATTGCCAAGACCTCAAGATGTTTAGATGATGAAATGAATGTAACTAGGACGATTCCCGATCCCCCTGGTTATTGTATGGACCTGTATTTAGAGGATTGTAATAGACTTTGTAATGTTGGTTGATGTTATTTAAGTACTTCTTTTCACAAAAAAAAAAAAGTCAATTACGAAATACATTTTTTGGCTTTTTGACCACTTAAAAAAGTCAAAAGCTAACCAAAAAGTCATTTACTAAACATGGCCTAAAGCTATGTTTACCTCTCCTTAAAATACTACTTCATATTGTTCAGTTAAAGTAATTCACTTTCATATAAATAAGTTCAAATTAGTAAAAAAAATTTAGTTTAACAAAAATAATTTTAGATTAGTAAAAACTAGATGTAAGCCCGTGCGATGCACGGTTCTAGTATATCATTCTATTTAATTAAAATTTTTGTATATTTATGAAGATCATTCATTAGATATATGGATAAAATTCCTAATATCATAAGATAATTTTAATTTTAACACTAAAGTTATCTTTTGTTGTTTTAATTATTTTACGTGACGCTTGAATTTAAAATTCCAAACCTTATTCACTAATTTGCTTATGTGGCAATATAAATTTTTAATTCAAAAAAAGAAATGACAAATCTCGTTTTTTATTGATCAAAATAAGTCTTTTGCCTATACATTTATTTAATATACTCGTTCTGTTTAAAATGTTAGTCTCATTTATAATCGGTTAACTATTAAAAATATGGGAAATTAGTCATATAAGATTTAGTTTTATTCGTCTTGATGAGTACATTATTAAAATCAAACTTTTATAATATTTGTTAGGGAGGGAATAAAGATACGTAGAATTTTCCATCAAAAATTTGCATCCATATGTGTAAAAAGATATTACTTATTTTTTTTAATTTAAATTTTAATTATTCTCTATTCGTAAAATTAAACTTTTACAATATTTTCTAGAGAGAGATTAAAGATATTTGCGATTAAAAATTTGCATGTAAAAAAATTAATTATTACTTAGTTTTTTTTTTATTTTTTTTAGAAAAGATAATTATTGGTTTTAAAAAGTAATTTAAATTTTAATTATTCAATACCTATGTGTCAAAATTCTTAAATCCTATTCGTCAATTTTTCTTAGGTGGCGAGTAAATTTTTTAATTCTAAAATAAATTATTAATCTAATTTTTCATTGGTCGAAATAATACCGTGGCGCACCAAATACCCCCGAAAAATACCTACTTTATTTATATATATTAGATTACATTAGTAATTAGACAAACAAATACAATATCATAGAGAAAAATTTTAACCAATAAAAATAATTTATTTCACTAAAAAGTAATTTCAATTCATTAAAAATACAATGAATTGAACATAGTATAACCCACTTTCTATTAGGTTCGGTTTTTTGAGTTAGGGGCGTTTTTCTGGATTGAGCACCCCTAAACTGGGCTCCATTACTTTTAGGCCCAAAAGTTTTTTCTTCTTTTTATTTATTTATTTAGTTTAAAATTATTGCTGTTATAAATCCGTATTCAATAATATTTGCTGCTGAAACTGAAAATCGATCATAAATTAATCATGAAAAATAAAGCTACGATTAAGGCATTAGCACAATCGTAATTCAATTTCCAGCGAATGCATAAAATTGAAACCAAAATTCTAGGGTTTTAGCATCTTCTGCAACTTAAATTCCAAGGTTTACCAGTAATCAAGCCGCAACAATGGCGGCAGGAACGTTGCAGCAAACATCAGCAGACCTAAAAAAATCGAGAGCAGTTCTTCATCAACTCACTGACACTTTTCAATCAATTCAATCTCACGTTTACTCAGTTATGGCGCTTTCGGATCAATGGGGAACTTTCCAGAACTCCTTTGTGTCAGTTCAGCATTCTCTGGGAAGCCATATTAAGGAGCTTGAGGTGAAGGAGAGAGAAACAAATTCGCTACGAATTGCATTGGATAATCGGGAAAAAGAGGTTGAATTGCGTCGGAAAAAGCTGGAATTTGATGAGAATTCGTTGAGTGAGGGATGTAAGGAGTTGGAGATGAGAGAGAGGGATTATTCGGAGCGAGTTCAAATGTTGGAGTTGGAGAAGAAGCGGGTTAAGGAGTGGTTTAAGGCGGCGGAGGCGAAAGAGAGGCGAATCGAGCAGCGGACTGTTGCGGTGGAGGAGAGAGAGAGGGAGGTTGAGGTGAGAGAGAGGAGGGAAGGGTGTGGGGAGGTTGAGGAGAGAGAAAGGAGGGTGGAGGAGCGGGAGAAGGAGATTGATAAGCGAAGCGAGGCGGTGGAGATGGGGGAGAATGGGATAAATAAGAGGTGTATAGAGTTGGAGAGGAGGGAGAAGGAGGTTGAGGAGCGAAACCGGGTGGCGGAGTTGAGGGAGGAGGAGATGGTGGTGAAGGAGAAGCGAATTGATGAGCGTTTTGAAGAAATTGGATTGAGGGAGAAGGGAATTGATGAGCTTTGTAGAGTGCAGGAGTTGAGGGATAAAGAATTGAGTGAGAAGGGTAAAGGGTTGGAGTTGAAAGAGAAGGAGATTGATGAGAGGTGCAATGTGGTTGAATTGAGGGAGGTGGAAATCGAGCAGCGGTGTAAGGGACAAGAGTTGAGGGATGAACAATTGAATGAGCAATGTAAAGAGTTGGAGTTGAGAGAGAAGCGTATAGATGAGCGTTTGGGAGAGTTGGAGTTGAGGGAGAAGAAAATTGGTGAACGGTGTAGGGTGGTTGAATTGAGGGAGGCGAAATTTGATCAGCGTTGTAAGGTACAAGAGTTGAGGGATAAACAATTGAAGGAGCGTAGGGAAGAATTGGAGGTGATAGAGAAGCATATAGATGAGTGTTTGGAAAAGTTGAAGTTGAAGGAAAAGGAAATTGATGAGAGGTGTTGTGTGGCGGAGTTGAAGGAGAAGGCGATTGATGAGAGGTGTAGTGTGGCGGAGTTGAAGGAGAAGCATGTAGATGAGTGTTTGGAAAGGTTAAAGTTGAAGAAAAAGGAAATTGATGAGAGGTGCAGTGTGGCAGAGTTGAAGGAGAAGGCAGTTGATGAGAGGTGTAGTGTGGCGGAGTTGAAGGAGAAGCATATAGATGAGTGTTTGGAAAGGTTAAAGTTGAAGGAAAAGGAAGTTGATGAGAGGTGTAGTGTGGTGGAGTTGAAGGAGAAGGCGATTGATGAACGTTGCAAAGTGGTTGAATCTAGGGAGAGGGAGATTGATGAGCGGAGCAAGGGACAAGAGTTGAGAGAGAAGCAATTGAATAAGCAGTGTAAAGGGTTGCAGTTGAAAGAGAAACGTATAGGTGATCGTTTGGGAGAGTTGGAGTTGAAGGAAAAGAAAATTGGTGAGCGGTGTAGTGTGGTTGAATTGAGGGAGGCGGAAATCAATCAGCATTGTAAGGCACAAGAGTTGAGGGATCAGCAATTGAATGAGCGTTGTGAAGAGTTGGAGTTGAAGGAAAAGGAAATTATTGAGCGGTGTAGTGTGGTGGAGTTGAAGGAGAAGGCAACTGATGAAAGTTGCAAAGTAGCCGAATCTAGGGAGGAGATTGATGAGCGGTGCAAGGGACAAGAGTTGAGAGACAAGCAATTGAATAAGCGGTCTAAATGGTTGCAATTGAAAGAGAAGCATATAGATGGGCGTTTGAAAGAGCTAGAATTGAAAGAGAAACATATAGATGGGCGTTTAAAAGAGCTAGAATTGAAAGAGAATCAAATCGAATTGAAATACAAGCAGACAGAAGAGGCTTGTGAGGAGCTTGAATTGAAAGAGAAGCGAATGATAGAGCATACTGAAGAGAAGAAATTAAAAGATAAACAAATTAGTGAGAAATGTGGAGAGCTAGAGTTGAAGGAAAAGCATATCAATGAGAGTTTTAAATCTTTGGATTCGAAAGTGGAGCATATAAACAAGCGATGTAAAGATTTATCATTGAGAGAGAAGTTAATTAGTGATCGTAGTAAAGCATTAGATTTGAAAGAAAAGAAGATGTATGAGCAGTCTCAAGCACTGGAATTGAAAGAGAAGGAAATTAGTAGGCACGCCAAGGCAGAGGAGTTGGGAGAGGGACAAAGGGATGTGCATATTAAAGCCTTGGTGTTAAAGGGGAAGAAAATCAACAAGTGTTTTCAGGAGCAGGAGTGCAAGAAGAATGAAATTAATGACCCTTGCACGAAATTGGAATTGGAAAGGGAGCAATTGAGTGATACCACTGGCATGACGAAGAAATCTGAACAAAACAGTAGTTTGGGATTTGTTGAAGGATTGCAGAGTCTTAGTCTTAAGCAATGTATGACAGATGGAAAAGCCTTGCAGATGTTTTTGAATGATCGAGTCGATGAACACAGGTTCATGGAAGAAGAGATTAGGGATGCTCTCAGGTTATCTTCAGAACCAGGCAGGTTGGTATTAGCAGCTTGTGTTGGGTTTTTCTCACCACATTTGAAGAATGGTGATGTGATGTATGAAACAAGTGCTGTTAGGAGTAGCTGTGTGCTACTGTTGGAGCAATTGATGAATTTAAAACTTAAAGTTGATAAAGGTTTGAAGAAAAACGCCAAGAAGGTTTTTTTTCTTTGGAAAGAGAAGATGAGAGAAAATGGACAGAGTCGTATTGTGGTGCTAAGCTTCTTACTGTTAATAGTTGCATTTGGCTTGAGTTCAATTGTTAACAGGGATGAATTGCAGAGGCTTTATAAGATTGTGGATCAGGATAGGATAGCACCTCGGTTGCATCAGGAACTGAACTTGTTCAAAGCGAATGAAGGTGAACTTCTAATTTGTCACCCATACAATGCATCTGAGACCCATTCTTTACAGTTCTATTTTGTGCAATACGTGTGTAAAGTTGCTGTGCCTGTGATTCTATGTTCTGCTTGCCTTTTGCATTCTGATGCTCAATATCAGCTAGCCAATTAGTTAGTATTATCTGTTCAAAGAATTATTTGAATGATGCTTTTAGGAAGTACCTACTATGAATAACAGATTGTGGATTTACTAGAAAATTGGTTGAATGAAGTCTAATTGAGAGTCAAAGTAGGCTTTACCCTATCTCTTTAAATAATTCTTTCTGAACAACTAGGCCTGCGACCTTTTCTATATCCATTGAATTAGTGACAAGAACAAGCAAACTACTAGCTGGTAGCATATTATGGTAACCCCATCTTAGGTTTTGATGCTGCCTATGCTTTATTTTCTTGTTCCATAGCTACGCCACAGGATCTATATCACCTATTACTGTAACAATTACGGTCTCAACTCCCAAGGCCTTTCAGCACACTTTGAGTTTTGTCTATTTTCTTACTTCCTCTATTGATTTTTAATTGTTCCTCTCTTTACATTTTTAATGCATGGTTTTGACCATTTTTTTTTTTATTATTATTCTAATGTATTAGTAGGAATTATTAAAAGTTGATATTTTGATGATATACATTGAGATACATCCAATACCATATTACAAAATAACACTTGTTTTCATACATTACATAAATAAACAAACAAAAAATGCTCATAGAGGGGGTGTGTGGATAGTGTAAAAGTCAACATGATAAAAAATTGGTGAGAGTAGAAAGAGAATATTTATTAAGGTTTTTTTTTTTTGGGGGGGGGGGAGGGAGGGAGCCTGATCAACCCTGTTAGTGTACAGAGTATCAGCTGATTACCCGTGTGTTTATATCTTCTTATTGGAGCTAGAAATATTGAGGTTGCTTAAGCTTGTTGTTGGATCAGGTTACACTAGTATTATGATACTTGTGGATTTACGTTGATGCTGTTTTTTTTGTAAACTGACGCATAAAATGAACTTGTAGGCCTGAGATAATTAGATACATAAATTTAGTTTTCCTTGGAAATTGTTGCAATGTTGTTACTGTCTTGAGCATATCTTGTGAGGAAATCGCGACATTTAGTTTTGAACCTCGTTAAATCATAATGAGAAAATGTGTTAACCTTGTTACATCTTAATGACAAAGTTTGTTTGTTTGTTTGTTGTTTTTTTTTTTTTTTTTAGGATTAATGACAAAGTATTTGTCAAAAAGGCATGTGATTAAAGCACTAAGTAAGTGCATGACATTATAGCTGAGGTTGGACATATTTCTGCTTTATTGTTTCCTATTTCTAATAAAACCAAATATTAGTATGGAAATGAATGTTAGTGGGAGTAGGAAGGACCCATGACTTTTGTCATCTTTCGTTTCAATGCATAAGCATACTGCTTGTGTTGGATTATACTTATTTGCATCAATGTTTGGGTTGTTCATAATGCATCTTTTGAAATTTGGAATTTTTTACTTTTATTTATTTATTTTTATCATGCAATGCACTAGCTAATGTCATGCTTTATAATCCAATATATTTATTAGATTTAGTACTAATTTTTCATTGTGCGTAATTGCTTATGCTTGATGCTTTTGTATCTCAGTATTTTTTATAAAATGAAAAGAAAAAAAAATTGAAAGAGTTGCATATAGCTCATAGCTGAGAAAGTTAAAATGGGTAGCTATAATTTATGCAATAAAACATTAAAGATGGATATAGAATTAGATTCCATTCAAAGAGTGAACTTCATAGTTTTTGATTGGTGTGGGGTTTTGAATCCATACCTTCGGAGTCGTCCCTGGTATGGATTATTTCCACAATTTTGATTTTCACTTCAGTGAACCAAGTGACCCCATGTGAATTTGTCATGGTCTTGCTGTGATAATACAAAAAAAGCACTAATGCTTTTGTCTTGTGATATGCACCCAAGGTCTATTGAAATGTTGATACCTAGGCTTTTAGGATGATTTAGTCAAAACTGGATTTGAATGATATTTACTTTTACCTCTATGTTGACCTTTTGTGTTAAGTAACAAATCATTGTGTGTGTGTTTTTATATATATATTTTTTTATTGTATTTATTTATGTATTGCTCTGGGTGTACTGTATAGTTTGTAATATCGTGTGCATTTTCTATATTTGGACCTCTCATCTCTCAAATGCTTTTCCCACATCATATGTTAATGGTTGCTTCAACTTGATTTGTTTGGCTAGGAAGCAATATGCTCACTGGCCCCCTTGAATTAACGACTGGACAACAGCTGACAGATATATTGCAAGGGACTGATACAGTTGCTTCACCCTCCATAAATCAGTGCAGTGTGATCAACTTGCTGTGCCATCGTATGGATGCAAAGGGTCTAAGATTATATATAAGAGAACATATGATAGATCAAATTATTTCTCCAGAAAAGATTTTAGATGCACTTCTATGTGCACCAGACCCAGCAAAACTACTTCTTAATGTAGTTCAAATTTTCAACCAACCGAAGGCAACACCAGTTGAGAAAACTAATTGCATATTTTTGTTAGAGCAGTTGATGAAACTACAAAAGCGACAACGTAGTATCAATTCCCTTGGTCAGGTAGAGCAGTTGGTGAAACCACCATCAAAAATTACACTTGGTTTGAAAAAGCAAGCAAAAAAGTTTGCTTATACATGGAAACAAACTTTGGCTAAGACGAAAGGCTATAAAATTTTGGAAGTTTATGGCTTTCTGCAATTTCTAGCCACATACGAGATAGCCAGTTTATTTAATGAAAATGAACTTTTTCGACTTTTCAAAAAATGTTATGGTGGGCGCTTGGTCTTCCGGCCTGAGCAAAATCCATACTTGTGCCGTACACTAGGATTGGAAAAAAGAATTTCAGGTATTTTTCCTCTATTGGAACCCATAAAAAGACTTCTAGAGCTCTAGTTACTTGAGAATGATTTCTTATTTTCATACGAATCATCTTGTTTACCTATATATTGAGTGTTTCTAATATGTCTAATAGAACAATTTTTACCTAGTATTTTCCCTCTACATAGTCAGATTGTCTCTTGCTGAAGGGTGCATATGTAATGAAAATGCCTTTTACATATCTAGCAATTTAATTTTATCCATTGAGGAGATATGAAGGGGAAAGGATTAACTGATCTTCCATCTCTAAGTTAATTCACATCATCACATGCCCACTTCCTTTTGTCCAATGACCCTTTTGTTTCTGCAAGACTTTTTGTCTAATATTAACCCTCAATTCTCACAAATCTACTGCGTTTCCACTCTCCCGATTCTATATTGTGTTTTTCCTCCTATGTGATATTGCAAGATATGTGACAATAGAGGTTTAAACTATAAATTAATAGAGAAATTGTTAATGGTGAAAAAATAAAGGGCTAAGGGGTGGAAAGTGAGTGTGATTTTGGAGAAGTGTATAATAGGTCATGCATGGTTTTTTGGCTGTTCATGCTTGTAATAATGCCTTCCTATTAAATTTCTCAAAAAAAGAAAAAAAATGCCTTGCTGTAAATAGGGAGGTGGAATTTCTAATTTGGGTCATTGGTAAAACTGTCTTATTATACAATCATATACTATATCTTTAACTCTTTAAGTGCCTCATTTGCTCTATGTATAATTATTATTTTTTAATTAAATGATGAGGATTATGTTACATAAGGATGATTATGGTCCATCCTTGAATAACCAAAGCTTACAGACAAAAGGGGAAAAATTTGCAAGCATGCCACCCAGCAGAAGCTTAGAAGCCGTAAATAAAGAAGCAGTTGCATAGTTTAAAAGGTGAAAAAAAGGCTGAAATAAAGCGCAATAAATGAAAGGGTTTATAGTAGACAAAGGGGAGCCTAACAGAGGTTTGGGTGTTAAAAATTCTATGTGCAGGTTTGGGTGTTAAAAATTCTATCCCCCACCCCCCCCCCCCACCCCCACCTCTCTCTCTCTCTAAAATCCTATTGTTTGTGCTGACTCTCTTGTGCGCCTCTCCTCCTCACTTTTCACATAAAGCATCTCAAGGATTGTGTGATATTTTGTTGATGTTCTAGTTGATTACCTTATGTATATGTTTCTTTCATAAAGTTTGCTTATCTGGGATAGTTGATTCTTTACACTAGTTGTTTGTTCTTTCTTGGATCACTTTGTACAGGCCTTATCAAATCTCTTGTCAAGGAGGACCGACGACTTCAGGCAGTCAAGTATATCTGTACTTTTATGATGGAATCTTATTTTCCGCTAGCTCCCCTTCTAAAAGATCACCTTAAGTTCACCAAGGAAAAATCAGTGAAGTTGCGGAAGGAAAGAAACAATTCTCATGCAGCAAAGGTAATTATTGACCCTTTGTTTAATGCTTACAAATTAGTATTACAATTGTGGTGTAACCTTCAAAGCTATAACTCATGCTCTAGGGGCTATTTCACTTTTCAATCGGATCTGACACAGTATTCAAACTTGCTATCAGATCAGACTTATGAGAGGTTTATTTGATCCTCTAACACCTCTTTGATTTTCAACCATGGCTAATTACATGCCAAATGAAGAAATTAATCTCAGCCTTGTTTTGGATAGCCAATCGTCTTAGCATTGTGCTTATTTTAGAGAGAGAGAGAGAGAGAGACAATGTTCGGACACTGTGCCCCTACCACACCTCCCAATGGCTCAAGTAAAAGCTTGAACTATTGCTAAATTTCTGTTGAGGGCATAGAGTAAAAAGGCCCCCCAAAAAGAGAGATGTATGAAAAGTGCCTTCATTTCAATGATTGTTATCTGAATCTACTTGGGGAGATTATATGAGGGGAAGTCTAACTTTGGTATAGTCTCTTCTTTATTCTAAATGAAATTGATGATGCTGGATTTGATATTCTTCTTCTTCATCTGTTTTTTATTCAACAATGGTGTTTGAGTTGAAATTCAATGCTGGTGTGGTAGATGTAGGGCTTGATAATGCAATAAGTCAATGAGAGTATAAGAAGACTAGAACTCTTGGGTGACATGGTCATGTCATATGTCACTCTGCGATGTTAAGTGAGATTGGTATGGGACTATTTTATAAGGGAAGGAGACAAGGGGAACTAAATTAGTAAAACGAATAAAAAAGTTGTTCTCTTTGTGTACGATCTCCTTACAGATTATCTGCTCTGTGCTCTGATTAGTATTGTTAGTTAATACTAGTGTACTGTGTATAGATGGAGATGTGTGCATGTGTTTCAAGGATGAACAAGGAAAATGCCAAATGCTAATATAAGAGAATGGTCTATTTGGGGTAATTAATGGGTCTAATGGAAATGATACAGTATTTATATTTGTGAAGGAAGTTTCATGCCAACATCCATGGTATTGTTTTTCTTGGAGTTTGTATTGTCTCCCAGATGTTATGTTCTTTTCAAAGAATTCAAACTTAGTATATTCATGATAATAATAGTAATATTCATATCAAGTATATTCATAATAATATCTTTGCAGATTGAATCTGCTCGCTTTGAGATGCATCACCTGCAAGATGTACTGAAATACATTAATGATTATAAGCTTGAGTCAGAATTCACAGATGTTTCTCTTGAATTGCGAATTGAAGAGCTGGAAAAGCAGATTGCAGAACTGAAGACTTCCACCACTGAAGAGGAACAGATGGTAACTACCGAAGAAGGGTTAATAGATGACAGTTCCATAAATTTGGAAGTGGATATGGTAGAAATTGGTTCAACTAAGCTCGGAATGAAGGCAGAAAAGAATCTTTTGCATCCTGCTGACACTGCATCAGAGTTGTTTGGTGGGAAGAAGCGCACTTCCAGCCCCTCCCCTTCCTTTGTGCTGCCACAAGAAAAGCGCCTCAAAGCAGGGGCTCTTGTTTCTAATAGACAGTGGCCACAACCTGGGCCTTGTACTTCTGGACATCAAGCCCATGTTAAGCCTGATGAATTCCCCGTGTCGCATCCTGTAACATTGCCTGCTATAAATGGGTTGAGTGCCCAATCTGGTTTACTTGATAATAGTTATGGTGCTAGTGCCACTCCCACTCCCTGTAGGGAGACTCAGCAAATCGCACCTACTGCCAGAATCTGCCCTGGTGGCATTGATGTAGAATTGAAGACTACCACTGCAAGAGTTGAACAAAAGTTGGCTAATAAAAGAAAAGAGGATCTTAAGAATACCTTTTCTGCAAATATTGAAAAGGATATAGTAGAAAACAATTCAATTCAGGGTATAAAAAAGGCCGAAAAAATTCTCTCCCCAGCCTTTTCTGAAATTGTAGCAGAGTCTTGTGGTGAGAAATACTTTTCCAGCCCCTCCTCTTCCTCGGTGTTGCCACAACAAGCAAAACACCTTAGACCACAAACTTTTGAGTCTCCTAATCCACCACCCAATTATCCCATATCCATGAACCCTCCACTGCCAAGTCTGCAATCATGGGGGCAACATAGACCTTATACATTTGGACATGTAGCCCATGATGGACCCAATGGAGCATTGCATCCTGGACAAATGCCTGCTGTAAATGGGCCAAGTGCCCAGTTTGGTGGCCCTAGTGGCAGCTATGGTGTCAATCCCTGTTGGGGAACAGGTGAGTTTAGACCTACTGCTGTAATTTTCCCCGGTGATACCCTTGCACCCCAGTTTAGACCTACTGCTGGAATTGGCCCTGGCAGTACCACTGCACATGGGCAGTTTAGACCTTATGCTGGATTCGGTCCTGGTGATACTCATTCACCTGTACAATTTAGACCTGCTGCAGGAATCGGCCCTGGCAGTACTCCTACACCTGGACAGTGGCCGTCTGCTGGAATTGGGCCTGGCAATACACCTGGACAATATGGACCTGCCGCTGGAATTGGTTCTGGCAGTATACCTGGACAGTATAGGCCTACTGCTGGAAGCTATCCTGATGGACCTCCTGCACCCGGACAATTTTGGCCTACTGCTGGAATCAGCTCGAACGTTATTCCTACACCTGGATATTTTGGTATAATTCTGAACTTTTGTACAATAATCTTTGATTTTAGTTCAAAACCTTTGATGTTAATTTGTCATATATTCATAAGCTTCTGCAACTCATTTATTATAATCTCTTGACATTTTGTTTGTTGTTCAGTTGGAAGTCAGGTGCCGCCGTATAGGCCATGATAAACATAAGGCTATTTTGTCAATTGCACTCAACACACTAAAGGATGTATATGATAAGGGTGAACCTTGGATATATCAGTTCTCCGGTGTCAAGACAGCTAATTGGTAGGCTAAATTGTTATCTAGGAATTTTGAAGGTTGATGATAAAAGATGCTTACAAGTGGAATTGAAGACTTATTCTGGTTTGAATGTGCTTAGAAGCAAATCTAGAGGATATGCCGATACAACCATAAACAGCCTTGTGCTTGTGTCTAATTCTTTTTTAGTTTGGTTTGTACAGGGTGCTCTGTTTTTTCTTTTTAGTTCAAATGCTTGATCCTCAATTATTTCAATTGTTTAGTTCTTAATTGTGTAGGTTGTAAAGCCATAAGAGTAATGGTCAAACATGGTTTATATTCCCGGGCCATGATAATGTGTAAATTGTAGTGTTTAAGAAAGGAAGCAATAAACGTGTACCAATAAGGTATCTATACAATTTTTTGATTTTTTATATCATATACTTGTAATTTATAAATGGAAAATTTGTCCAGGACAACCTTTTTAAAAGACAGTTTTTGTCTAGGGCAACCTTTTAAATTTTTTTTGGCAAAGGCAGACCCTAATATATTTTTTTTTGTTAACAACCAACCCCAGCTTTCAGGCGTTGACCCACCGAAATCCGGCGTTGACCCTCACATGACTTGCACGTGACCTTTATTTCTCCTAATTGCACCCCACCATCATACCACCATCATCATTAGCCACCACCATCATCACCGAACACCATAAGAACCACCGCACCAGACCACCAACACCATGAACACCTTCAATATCAGACCACCAACACCAAGGCCACCATAAACACCTTCGACATCGCACCATTACAACCACCAATCTTCTTCATCTTCTTTACCGCCGCCACCACCACCATCACCACCAGCCGCATTATTCTTTGTCTCAATTAAGGATCTTTGATTGACACGAAAGAGACAGAATTGGGTGTGCAATCTTAGAAAAAACAACGGATTTCGATCAGATCTAAAGCTAGGGTTGGTATTTTTGTGGTGGATTTCGATTTGATGCGGTCTACGGGGGAGGGTGAGTGAGGCCGGTAGGTTGAATTCCTGCCGTGGGGTGGCTTTTATTTGCTGCGAGGAGGGTGATTGTAGGGTGGGGTTTCGGGATTTGCCGGTGCTTGGTGGTGGGGTTTTGGATCCAAATTACACTGGTGGTGTGGTTTCGGTGGTGGTGGGGTTGCGGATTTCGCTAATGGTGGGTTCAAGGTGGTGGTGGAGTTTATAGTTGTGGTGGTGGTGGTGGCCTGGTGGGGGTGGTGGTTCAAGTGGAGTACAGACAGTGGTGAAGGGGTGTTAACGCCGGATTCTGGTGGGTCAACGCTTGAAAGTGGAGGTTGGTCGTCGTTAACAAAAAAAAAATTATAATAGGGTCTGCGCCTTTGCCAAAAAAATTTTAAAAGGTTGTCCTAGACAAAAACTGTTTTTTAAAAGGTTATCCTAGACAAATTTTCCTTTATATATTCGTGTTGATGTTAGTTGAGCTAAGAATTACGGAGTATTTCAAGATGGAATATGTTCTTGTATTCTTCCGAGACGTGATCATTTTGAAAGAGTGCAAAGGACTTTAAATATGTCTCAAAGTTAAAAGTCTCAATTGTGCTTTATATATATACTCAATTGTTGAAGGCATGAGAGTTAGATGTATAGGCATTTGGTTCATAAAGTGGTATGAGTTTGAAATTTGGAATGAAATTAGGGTGGTGTGGCGTTGGAATTTGATTTGTAATATTCTATATTAGCTCTCGTGCGATTCGCGGATATAATGAAAAAAAAAAGATATATCAAACAATACTTTGTAAAAAAGCATAAAATAATGTTTCCTTGGTTAAAGGGTGGTCAAAAGGTTTATTAAAAAAAAATTGTGAAGAGTTTTATGTATAGTATTTTGTATTAAATTATTTTGTAGTCAATATTTATTTTTTAAAATAAAAAACGTGAAAAAAGAAAAAAGTTTAGGCGGAAAAATTTTGAAGGAAAAGGTGACACATGTACAAATTGGATAAATGAATGATGTCAGCGATTGTTCTTAGTATTAATTATATAGATAGATTGTGTTTGGTTGTTTAGGAATAGGCTTTTTTATTTTTATTTGACACCTAAAGGCGTACGTAGTATGAGCCATACCCACCTCCCTCCCTTGTGTGGGTTTCTAAACCCAAACCTTGTGGGTTTGAGTTTAAAAATTAGATTTTTCTTAAACAACATGGATCTGAAGAGTCGGGTATTAAAGAAAAAAAAGGATGAAAAAACGTATCAATATATGAAATACATTGAGAGGAGAAGGTGAAAAATTAGGCGGAAATACACAAAGGTAAAAAAGAATAAAAAATATAAAATAAAATAAAATAAAAAAAGACTCAAATGTATCAATATATGAAATAGGGGTAAAAATGTAAATTAATCTTTAGGGATAAAATGGTCTTCACACTGTTTATAAGAGTTTTTTTTTTCCAATTTTTATAAGGTAGGGAAACATTAGGTATGGGTTTTACTCATTCCAATCTCATACTTAAAATCTACGAATTAATGCCCCCTAAGAGATTTAAAGATGAACATAAATATAAGATAATCTGTAGTGAAGTAAAAGTGGAGCCAGACCCCATTGATATATTACATCAACGAAATTTCGTTGATATAATGGAAATCTCGTAATTAATTGGAACTTATTCTGAAACCCACATGAAAAGTAGTGGAATGCTTCTCTGTTGGTGCAATTTTTTATTAAATCTTGTAACGGTACTTGTTTGAACGGAAAATTTAACTCTGACTACTCAACTTCAATGAGATCTAAGATTGTAGAGGAGGAGAGAGAATAACAAACTAGTTTGGGTAAAGACAAATCTTCATAAGATCGGCGTCGATGATTATCTGGTACCACCGCCACACAAACACTCAAAGCAATACTTCTAGCTTCGTTGTCATTTCGCTACTACAATCTGTGTAGTTGTCCCTGGGTAAATGTGGAGTGCAGGGGAGAGAATTTGCAAAATTTTAACAGTGAAGCCCTAGCTGAGATCTTTTAACCCGTAACAATATTTCCCAGCTTAAAATTGAAAAACAACAACTGAATTCATCAAATGTGTGCAGCGCAATTGATACTTCATCTCGTACTTCGATAAATTCAATTTTCAATGCAATTTCGTATTACAAATGCAACACATTAATCCAGCAATTTATGAATCGAATAATACCTTCATTTTGGAAGTTAATGAAACTTCGAATCTGTCGTCGTCAAAGGAATTGAGCTCAGCAGCATTGCTCTTGCTTTCCTTGAAACTCCACACTCTTCATCATACGATGTACACAACCGTATTGATCATCAAAAATTCCTGCCCAAGCACAACCACTTAATTCAGTCAAAATGAAGAAGAAAGGTGTAAAAAAACCATTAAAGGTCACTGTTGCGGAAGAGAGAGAAAATTCCTTTAATGATGTTAACGTTGTCTCAACGACCCCCATCAAAAACGAAAGACATAAAACGGGGTTTCAAGGGGTTTTCATAACTGTTCCAATTTTGACCTTCATTTAATGAGTGAAATGGCAGCGCCGCCCCTATATCAACGCTCCTCGTTGATATAGGATATCAATTTGGATTTCCTCGTAAAAGTGACCTATGTTTGAAGATGCTGAAAGTATTGACTCTCCGTCTCTTAATGTTTTTCCTTTTTTTTATATAATTATTATCATTTTTTTAAACTTATTTTATAATGCGCATTTTTTTACTAGGAGTAACATTGTACAGGATCATAAAATTACTCTTACAACTACTATAGTGAACTTGCTTTGTATTGAAAATTGTTAAGATAACCATGTTTTTCTCTCAACATCTCTTCCAACCACTCAAATTGGACAAGCAAAAAGGGATGAAGGAAGAACTATCTATGTCTTATAAAATGAATTTATTTTTTATTTTTTATTTTTTATTTTTATGAGGCAATAATTCATTAGCAAAAGGTCGACAAGAAGTATAATCAACATATTATATGTGACGATTCTAACGACTACATGTTCTAGCCATAACAAAGAAAATACTACGTAAATAAGATGAGCGTGTAAGCTCACGTATCATGCCAATGTGTGTCATGCTCAAGCATGTAAATTAAAAATCAATTGTAACTGTACCTCCAAATTGATTTAATGAAGAATCATAAACCAATTTATTCAAGCCATCTAATTAAATCGATTCAAGAACACCAAACCCCCAAATCCAAAAAAAAAAAAAAAAAAAAAACCCAAATCAAAATAAATTAAAATAAATAAATAAATACCCAATTTTCTAATTAGATAGACTGGATTTTCCCAAATACTCTGCTTTCTGTTTACTTGGGCAATTTTCTTGTACACCCTCTTACTTTTTCCGGTGCGATTGCTAACGGAGATTCATCGTTGCTTACTTCGATAGCCTGGAGATTTGGTGAGTTCCAAAACTCTTCCTTTACTTGAATTTTTTTTTCTCAAAAAAAAAAATGTATCTATAATCTTGAATTAAACAAATAAATCTGCAACAATTGTGCGAATTCAAACACCATTTGTATGGTACCCCTTCTAATTCTGTGGCAAACTCCCACAATTTCGAAAATTTTGCTGAGTTTGGTATTACTAAAACTCTTTATACTCTGACATACCACCTTGATGAATTGCTTGACTGAAAGTTTTGTAAATTTTTAATCTTTTATTTCTTTTAATGGCTTTTTTATGTGCTGTTCATGGTAAATTTGTGATTTTGGCTGCTGGGTCATCTTCAAAATACTGGTAATTTATCATGGGATCCATGAAAAATAACAATGAACTGTTTTTCGAATCCTCTTCGGTCAGAATTGAACATGAGTGATTGTAATGATAGGTTACTTGTTTAAATTAAAGTAATTGAAGAAACCAAAAGGGTATGTTCTTGTATTTTTGTATAGAGAGTGCTGTGGTCGGTGTTGGTAATTCAAGCTTTACATTGGGTGTTTATTTTTTGACTGATAGAATAACATGAGCTTATAAGACATTAACTTGGTATATTCATGTGACAATGAGTTGAGCCTATTAGATATGTTCAAAGAATTATTGTAGGAGCTTCTTTTACTTGATTGTAGTGTCGTAAAATCTGTAAAATTGCAGCTCATCTCTTATCCCTTACATTATTTTTTGGCTGCTTATGTATTTTGCCACACTATGAACATCAAGTCCTCCCTACCCCCGAGATAAATATTAGTACAAGTGTACAACACCCTCTTCGGATTAGCCACCAGCAGAAAAGGGAGGGGGGGGGGGGTTGGAGAATGGGGGATACGCATTAGGTAGGCAGCCGATTAGTGTGATAAAGAAGATTGCAAGAGTAACTTTGGCTTGTTGGTTTTCGTTGTAGATATTCATGTTATTTTGTGTTATTTTCTTTTGTTTAGACTGATTGTATTAGTGTGTTTCTGGATGAGCAGCGATGGAAATGGATGAGAAGTTGCATGGCTTTGTTGTTGGCTCTGTGCCCACAGTTATATACATCCCTGAATTTATTAATGATTCTGAACAAACACAGCTTTTAAATCATGTAATATTTCCATTTTCTTTGTTACTTTTTAATATAATGTTTGGTTAACATTGGGTACACATCTAACTTTTTCCATCTCCTTGTGTTCATAGATCTATCAAGCACCTATTTCAAAGTGGAAAACACTTAAAAATCGGAGGTTACAGAATTGGGGTACTGAAAGATAGCATCTTGCACATATGACGCACACTTGCCTCTTGCACAACATTATATGGTTGCTAAATATGTTTTGTTGATCTTCTTCTACAGGGGGTGTAGTTCATGAGAAGGGCCTTATTAGTCAAGACTGTAAGTTATATGCATTTCACTTTTGGGTTTGGAACCATTTAACTTTGCAATTCATATTCTATCAAGGTCCAACTCCTGGCCCATATTCATCTTTTGGACCTTTTAAAGCTGCTAAAGAAAAAATGAACTCTTGCACCTAGTTATTGAGTTAAGATTCATTTTTTATGTATTTTTTTTTCACCTAGTTATTAAGTTAAGATTCATTATTTTGTTTTTAAAACAAAATGCATGAATTTTTGCAAGTGGTGGTCGCTTATCCTTGTGACCTGCGAGTCCCAAAGTATGATTTTTAAGATAAATAGCAAATTCTAATCACTTATGGATAAAGCTGAGATATTATTTAATGTCTGAGATTTATCTTGCTTTCTCTTGCTCCAGCCTCTAGTAGTATAAATTCAAAATTTTGAAATTTTCTTAGGCCTTATAAAATTTGACTGCTCCTCGTATACTATTACAGTGCCTCCTTGGCTGACCAAGATAACACAAAGGATACATGAAGTGCTTGGAATTTTCCCTGCTGCCCCTAATCATGTTCTCATCAATGAATACCAGCCTGATCAAGGCATAATGGTTCGAACCTGAGTCTATATTTTCTTTTGCCGACTTTCGCTGTTTCATCTCATCTTACTACCTTCTATAATTTTTGACATTGTCAACTCTGTGAAACTTGCTTTTCTTGAACTGTTCCGTTTCCTTTTTCCCTCTTTCTTTATTTATATTTATTTTTTAATCAGGAAGAGAAAATAGGGGAGTGTCTAATTGTCTATATTTTGTTGCCTGATAGCCTACCATATTCTTAAAACTTTAAAAATAAAGAAGTTGTTTATGCTGTTGATTTTATGTCTTAAAGATACTAGGGAAATTCTACAAGGTGGCCTCGTAGTTTTGCAAATTCCATATGGTGGAAACAAAAAACTTTTAGTTTCTAAAGTGAACCCTTAGCTAATCATATTCCATTACATGCCCTAATTGCTCTTTTAGATGGCTAACCCACATTTATTCATTTTACTAACCAACCCTCTAGACCTCTAGCTAATTACTAACCTTCATCATCTCCTTCCACCCACTTCTCTTCACCTTATCCACCACCACTGCCGCTGATGTATATGGAAGTTGGCTGCCTACTCCTATATCAACGACTGCCTCCTGAACACTTGCAACAAAACAAAACACACTTGAAATTCCACTGGGTTAAAGAACATAATTGGTGGTTGAACTGGGGTAGTGGGTCCGGTGGTGGGCTGCCTTTCGGAGCCAATCAGAGGGGAGTGAACCTGTGTGGGTGGTAGTTTGAGATTTGGAGCGGGTGTACATGGGGTAGGTTAGTAATTGCAGAAATAATGATGGGTTAGCCACAAACTAAGCATAATTACTCTTAATGCAATCCCCTGATAAACCTTAGTGTCACTTTAGAAAGTGTATATTTTTTGTTTACACCATTTTTTTTTAAATGCTTTGATATGTTATTTTCTCAGTCATAGGAAAGCCTAAAAATGCACTACGTAAGCATTAGTAGTTTAGATGGACTTAATTTTTCACTATCATGCAGCCTCATCAAGATGGACCAGCTTACTTTCCAGCTGCATCAATCTTGTCTCTCGAGTCACCTGTGGTAATGAATTTCACTCCTCATCTAAAATTATCTGAATGCAGTGGTACAGCTGAATCCGAAGCCATTCCACAAAATTCTGAACAATCCACGGTACCATTGAACAGCCACAGTAGCTTTTCTCTTTTGCTGATGCCTCGAAGTCTATTGATATTTAAGGACCTTGCATACTCGGGTACTTGATAAAACTATTTATAGAGCCTTCCACTATCGTAAAATAATTTCTCTCTTTTGATTCCCATTTTCATGAAATGACTTATGAGATCATTAAAATCTGGCTTTCAGATTACTTGCATGGCATTGAAGATAATGCGGTTCAACCTTTTGATGGGGTAAGTTTGTCGGATTCTAATTAAATCAAAATTTTAGATTGAGCAAAAGCACTGGTGACTGGTGTTTATTATTATGTTTTTCTGCTACTTGATGTGGGTACTGGATTTATAATGTAGGCTGTGAATCTTACTGAAACTGTGAAGGAATCTGGATTTAATGATCTTTTGCCAAGCCTCACTTGCGCAGAGGAAACTAATTCAGGAGATGCCAAGACTTTATGTCGAACAGCCAAACGGGTTTCATTGACATGCCGGTTGGTATTGAAGGTTCGAAAAAAATTTGATCAGGATTTAGGTGAAGGTTGCTAGTTAACAAATACAGTTTAAATTAAGTTAGGAGACTGAAAACTGACGAGGCTTTGAGCTACAACTAATTGAGAATAATCAAACTCCAAAAAATGTTTTTGGTGGGTTTTGATCTAATTTGGGGATGAATCCTTGAGTTGATTGATTTTGGATTCTGTGGAAAAATGATCATCTGAGGAAGATATACTTTGTGTTGCTGACAGTATGTATATTATCATTTGTTGATTAAAGTATAATACTTCTCCATTTTTATTTCTTGCAACACACCACTTTTGACATATACTCTAAGAAATATATTCGTACGGAGTATTAGACTAGATAAATAGATAAATTATTTGAAATAACTTTACCTCTAATAGTTCTTACGATTCAATTTTTTTATACGGAGTAGTTTAATTCGTTTGTTTGCTTTTCTTAATTGTGTTATTAAATGACGAGTCAAAACGATGTGTTGTAAGTATTAAAAAATAAAAATAAAAGTAATATTTTGTAGCTGTATATTTTCTTTTAAAAAATGTTAATTATTTAGTCAAATACAGTTATAAAAAAAAAAATCCGTTGCACCATAGACTAAAGCAGAAAGCAACTTACAAACTGCAAAATTTGAAAGTTGTGATTATTTAAACTACAACTTTTAGCCAAGTTGAGTAAGTTATGGTAATCCATCGTGTCTCTTTTCTCATGGAGTTTTGCTTCACATAAATCGTTCATTTTTACCTTCAAAAGGTTGGTTCTTTTATTTAAGAGCAAAAATCAACTAATGACGATTGTCATAATTCCATATGATTTGTTCCTTTGAATTTTTCTTATACTATATACGCCCTATTTGTTTATTACTCTGTAGCTAGTAGCTGATTAATATCATTGATTGTGTTAACTAATTTAACTAGCTGGATATAAACAACTATTTTGTACCATGGAACTTTATTTTCAGTTATTCTACTTTTAGTGCCACCAATTTAATTTCTCACAACTTCACCCAATCATAACTTCAAAGAACAACAATACACCAAGTTGAAAAGTACACGTTAGTGTATAAAACTATAAATAGCGATTAGTCGAGTCAATCCTATGAGGTAGAGGTGGAATTTGAGCTGTCAATTTTTAATTACTCTGAATTAAGAAATAACTTGCTTAAGCCCGCGTCATGCACAGTAAGTCTAATTTTTTTAAAAAAATTAATTATATCTAACAAATAAAATTTGATAAAGCATACAAATCAAATACTACCTCCGATTTTTTTTAATTGCAAATTTGGAATATTTTATATCTCTCAAATAATACCTCTAAGTTGCAACTAAAAAAAAAACGGAGATAGTATATAGAAATTATAATGTCATAATCTATATTAATAGGCAAAGCAACAAATTATCTAAAAATTGAATTTTTTAATCTGCCCGAACTCGAGAATTTTTAATTACTCCGAATTAATAAATAATTAATATGTACAACGACATTTAATTAATTTATTTTACGCCAAACCATTTATTAATTAATTAATACCTGTGAAAATAATTGATTAATTAATATGGGTGATTAATGTTAGAATAGTTACACTGTACGAGGGACATAGTCATTAAATCATTGTAATAACGAAAACTACTTCTACAACTCAATTGAGAGTTTGGGTCCCATCCTCCATTGACTTTTATCATGAGTTCATGACTACTATAGTACTGCCACCTTCGCCATCATCTAATTTAATAACCACAAACACCATGAAGCATAATTCGTAATAAAGTAGCCATATATAGTTGAATGGTTTTGTGGGAGAAGAAGATAATATGGGAAGATACACTATTGATTCCGTTAACTAGGTTAATGTTATTGACAGTTTTGACACTAAATCAATCTAATCACAAATTTTTAATCACAAATTATTTTTCAAGGAAATTGATCAGTCAAATGACATTGAATTAAAGTTGATACAGTATAAAGAGTACGTTCATTTTTCATTTTTCTTTTTTAATTCTTTTTTTTAACATCATACATTTTTTTTTTGAGGGAATTTTTAACATCATACATGGTCTTCACATCTATAATCACAATATGGCTACATCTAACATCCCTGTTTCATTTATTTTGAACCATAAATTTTTATTAATACTTCATAAAAAGTACAGTTACATACGAAATACTAGTCCAAATTACTCGCAACTTTAGAATATTTTATATCTCACAAATACTTTAATACCCCAAAGTTGCGAGTTTGGACCGGAGGTAGTATAACATATCCATGTTATATATCATTGCTTCACTAGATTTCATACAAAACTTATATTTCATGTTAGATATTACTTATCTTCTATGGATATGCTTAATGTACGTACAGTTTTATAATATCAATTTTTTTTATTATTTTGTTAATGTATAATTTATTATACAATAGAGAAACAAGAACAATGATGAGTGCCATGGTTGATAAGCATGATGATGGCTAAAGAACCATGAAGGTAACTATGTAAATAGGTGTTTGCATATGTTAGCTTCATGAGGTAAGTACACTAAGCATACATGAGTTGTATATATGTAGAAGTATTTACATAAGCTTTAAGTTTAATTAGTTCTCTCACTTAAAGTTTGTTTATGACAAACAAACTTCAATATAATGTTTCTCTTAAGTGTTTATGTGAAGACAGGAACTGACTTAGGTGAAGTCAATGGGTTGGAACATATAGAAGACTTCAAGAGGAACAAGAGAGAATGAATGAATCTAAAGCAGGTTCTTCCACGAGAACCAAACCACGAAGGAACTTGAAGGTATTCTCTAACAAGATCCAGAAGGAACTTTCCCAGAGCATGTTCCCTAAAAGGTACATGAAGAGTTCCCTAACAGGAACTTAGTTCTCTAACAAGAACTATCTAAGTTCCCTAACAGGAACTTGAAGACATCAAGTTAAGGAGTTGACTTGGTCTGCGTTGAAGACATCAAGTTCTAGTTAGGAACTTGGCCTGCGGTTCCAGAAATGAAATGTTGCCCTGAGATCTAAAATACATCAATACTGCAATTCCAGAACAAGAGTTTCAAAGAAACAACATGAAGACGGAGAAATCGAAGTATATCGCTCTAGGATTCATGTAAGTATGTTGGACATAAAAGTCAGTCTGAAACAAGTCTAAAGAACCAAGGTAAACTCATAATAGTCAGTGAAATTAGAGTTATTGACTTGTCATGAGCTCTGTCAGAGTTTCAGAAGCTAATCGGAACTTAAGACTGCACGTCGTTAAAGATCGGTTTAATGATATAAATATTTACCTAATACGTGCATATCTTTTAGGGATTTGGTTGTACAGAATAAAGATATTTATTTTCTAATAAATCCCTTTTGGAAAAAAATAAGTTATTTTTGGATAGTATTTTAAGCAAAAATAAGTTTAGACTAAAATCTAAATTTATTAAAAGTATATCTTTGAAAAAGATAAACTAGTATATTTGGAAAATATAAGTTTGGAATAAAATCTGACATTATGATAAGTATATCTTTTTTTAAAAAAAAAAGATAAGCTAGTATATTTGTAAAATATAAGTTTGGAATAAAATATGATTTTATGATAAGTATATCTTTTGAAAAAGATAAGTTAATATATTTGGAAAGTATATGTTTTAAATAAAATCTGATTTTCACTAGTAGAAAAATAGCAAAGGGCACCGGTTCAAACCCAGCTTAAGGCACCGGTTTGAACCAGTTTCAATGTGGGGGGGGGGGTGCCAATTACCCCCCTTTTTTCCACCGGTGCCATAAACCGGTTTTGGCACCGGTTAACCGGTGCCTTAAATAGTTCCGCGAAATTTTTTTTTGGTGGCATCCCTTTTTGGCACCGGTTAACCGGCGCCTTTTTGGTTTTTTTTTCTTTTTTCTTGCAATAATAATAAAAATAATATAAAAAATGCATGTAAATTGTAAAATACAGAGTACAAACCAAACATCAGTTTCTCAAAAAAAAAAAAAAAAAAAAAAAAAAAACAACATCGCAATCGATATAACGGAAGTGCAAAAACAATGAAATATAATCACATTATATTCAACAAGTAAATTGTTATTGTACAATACAAAAAAAAAAATTAAAAAATTATAATGAAATTCAACTCAGAAATTGATATTGCACAAAAAAATAAAAAAATTACAACATCAAAAAAATATTCCAAAATCAAAGTCTTGAATCCTTGTTGCATGAATTAACACTTGCATCAATTAAAACCAGAAATTATTAAAACTAAAAAAAAATACGAAAAACAAAAACCCAGAAAACTCATGCATGAAAGAGAAAGAGAAAAGGACGGAAACCCAAAAAAATCGCCCAATAAAACCCAGCAAATCTACGAACTCCAAAACTTTCGAAAATCAATCAAACCAAGCAATCAATTTAACCCAGCAAACCTAGAAAATCAATTATACCCAGCAAAATAATTAACCCCAAAACTTTCGAAAATCAATTAAATCCATAAATTTTGAAAAATCAATTAAGTGCAAAAAATGACAAAATCAATATAATTAACCCAAATAATTCCAAAATCAATTACACCAATCAATTTTGAACAATATTACAACAATCAAACCCAAAAAAACTAAGGCATATAACATAAATAATTAAACCCAGATACCCTTACCCCGAATAATTAAACCCAGAAACATGCACTAACCTCAAATTTGACCTGAAAATAAGCGGACTGGTGGCGGCGGTGGTTAGTGGCGTCGGTGGTGGTGGGCAGAAGATAGAAGAGAGGTCGGAGATCGAGAGGACAAAGAAGATTCACCGAGTCGAGGCAAAACTGCAGCATAATCTAGAAGCCTCTTATAATTACCCTATCAATCGGTTCCATGAATTCCATCTGGGTATGGATTTAAATGGGAAAATCAGATGATTTTTTATTTTAGAGAGAAATTGAAAAGAAGAGGACAGAGAGGGGAGAGAGGACAGAGAAGAGAGGTCGGAGAGAGAAGGAGGAGAGGAGAGAGAGAGGAGAAAGAAGTAGGAGAGGCGCCGAGTTGAGAGGTTAGGGTATATAACGGAACAAAGGCCGATTTTTTTTTTTTTGGTGCACCGGTTCAAACCGGTGGCCTTTGTATTTTTGGCACTGGTTTGAGATGAACCAGTGCCATTGTTCTTGGTCTAAATCCCCGCCCAATTTTAGGCCGGTTTTTGCCACCGGTTTGGCTTGAACCGGTGGCATTTGGGGGTTGCCTTTTTGTATTTTTCTACTAGTATTTATAGAAAGTATAAGTTATTA